AGGAAGGAACTCTCGATCCATCCTGACGATGATAGGTCAGTAATCAATCTATCTATCTATATATAAAACGTCTGTCTGTCTGTCTGTCTGTCTGTCTGTCTGTCTGTCCGGGGTACCCTATAGCAGAGGTTCCCAAACTTTTCTTCGGCGGAACCCTTGGCGGAACCCCTTAGTGTTCCGTGGAACCCATCCTCATTTTTCAAAAAATTCAAAGTCCTGTCAATTGCTCTTCCTTCAGCTATTGGAGGAGAAAACACGCGTTTGTTCCGGAGCAGACCCGAATGTTTATTGCTTAAGTCAATTCTTGTGTAAATTAGGAATGCTCATCTAGTGGGAACGTGCGTTGTGCAAGGACCTTCGCAACGTGCATTCGATGCCGATCGATGCGCCATTTAGAACGATCCCCTTCATATTGAGGAAGGCATTTGGAATCAGGAAAAGAAGTTGCCCACAGGGCTACGTCACATAGGGCCCGTATATGACCATGCATATGGAAGCAGAACCTCGTCGCGGAACCCCGATTTGCGCAAAGAGCAGCCCACGGAACACTGGGGTTCCGCAAAGATTTTGTCACGGAACCCCCGGAAAAGAGCGACGGAACCCCAAGGGTTCCGCGGAACCCAGTTTGGGAACCTCTGCCCTATAGACTCGAAAACGGCTGAACCGATCGTCGTGAAAATTTCGGAGCGTGTTCCGGGGGATCCAGTGGTGGTTGTAGGGGGGTCGATTCTCCGATGCGATGAGTCCTTCTACCTTACAAAAATTATTTGAGTGCTCCACCCACGAAAATACGAAAACTCGGAAAAAAATTGAAAAGTCGGAAATTCGCAAAATTCACGAGCGCCTGAAGCGATCGCCGAAAAATTCAAGGGTGGGTTCTCGGGAGCTTCAGGAAGGTAATTTCAAGGTCGTCGTTCTCATGCGATGGGTCCTCCCACCATAAAAAAAATGATTTGAGTGATCCTCTCGTCGAGAATATAAGATTTCATCAAGGGAAAGACAGAAGTTCGCTTGCAGTTGGAGTGTTTCTCATTGGACGCTTCTCATCGCCCCATCTTTATTGTACCTAGGGTTCCCAACTTCCCAACAAAAATACAATAGAATTCGCTGGTAGTCCTTCGGCATCATCGTAGCCTCATTTTTATGACACATCGTTCGTTCGTTTGGAGCCTCGATGCTTATGTACCATGTAACGCGGCTAGCACTGCTCATAGGTCGTCTCAAGAGGGACCACGCTGCCTCTCGACTCTCGAGGTGTCATTTCGATTGAGTCGAGCATACGAATACTGACCCTTCGGAGCCGCCGATTGAAATTCTCATCGTCAGAGCATGAATCTGCTCATGTTCTCGCTGCAGTTAGTCAAGTTGCCCGAAATCATTGGTCGCCATACCCGTCAATAGCCATCTTTCGGGATGCTCTCGGCTCTGGAAAAGCGGTGGCCCGACTAGGATTCGCGGTCCCAAAACAGCCTGTGGCGATATTCTCGAGGGTCCATGGCGTAAATCTGATTGCCCGAGATTGGGAGTCAGACGTCACCATGAAGCGGGATGTTGATATCATGATCGCCCCAATGTGTACGAAAGACTTCCCGGGGCGAGATACATCCAACATGTATGATGGAGAGCTTCTCAGAAAGCCCTTCTTCAAAACACTTCATCCAGATCGAGAGATGAAGGATGGAGCGCAGAAGCGCCTTGGCAGCCGCATTATTAGCCGGATAATGACCCGAGGCCCTCCCAAACAAGCAAGTGAACTCCTTCGGCTCCACCGAATCTGGATCTGGAATCTGGCATAATTGAGTGAACTTCGTTTTCTCATTCCCGAATCCAGATCTCGAATTGACTTCGTGATCTCCTCGTCTGGTCTTGGCGGAGAACCCAGATGCTTTTCGGTTCTCCGTTCTCATTTTGTGATATTATTAACGAAACGCAGCGTTCGAATACAACTGACGCGCCTTGTTGAAGATTGATTGTCTATCGGAAGAAACAAAATTACGCTGAAACTTTTCGAACATCGAACTTTCTCGCTCCAGACGTCCCGTTCCTCAGAAACCGGCAGAAACGTAAATTCCCCGTCCCGAACTCCTCGGTTCAACGTTCCTTGGTGAGGATTTGTAAGGATTCGATTTCTGGGTGTCCCCTCGGAGCCGGAAACCGCGCATGGCCTACCCCTCTCGCGGGGAAATTGCCTCTCGATAGACAAGACCGTTTCGGAAGCCCCGGCTTGAAATCCCAGACACGTGCGCAAACGAGCTGCACTCTCACTCGGAAAACTCAGATGTCAACAAGTATGGCGTCGAAAGAGGACGGTGCGCCGGCGCAAACGTCTGAAAACGTTGGAAAACTCGAGGAGAACGCGTTGAAACGAAAGGAAAGGTTGCGACAGCTCCGCGAGCAGAGAAAACGGAAAATCGATCCGGAGCACGACAACAGCCAAGCTAGCGAAGCCTTGCCAAAGCCGGTGTTTCGTACGTACAGACCCAACGACGAGAATCTCCAGGACCTCCAAATCCCTGACGCACAACCCGAGCGCATCGAAGATAAGGTGAATATCGAGGGTTCCACAAATAATACCTGATCCAAAAATGGATTACCGTCGATAGAGGGGATTTCCGTCGCGCCGGGGGGCGTGAGGGAGCTGCAAATTCAGGCAGCCATGCCATTCGAAATCCTTACGCGCGTAAGGAAATCTCTAGTGCCGCCGCCACTCTCCTCGTCGGGCTTGAAACTCGTTGATTCTGACCGGTGAAGTCGGATCTTTGTCAGTCCAGTCACGGAGCGATAGAGTTGTTCGTTAAATTTTTCCTTCTCTCTCAAAACCAGCGTGGAATACATCTTCCTTGTCCTTCTGAATTGACTCGGAATAATATATATTCTCTCATTCAGGTCAAGGAAACGTTGAGCCAAGAAGCTTCGGTAGATTTACTCGACAAAGAGATCGACATCACGACCCTAGCTCCCTTGAAACCGGACTGGGACTTGAAACGAGACATCGCGGGAAAACTCGACAAGCTAGGACGAAGAACCAAGCGTGCCGTTGCCGAACTAATCAGGGAACGCCTCCGTGAGAACAAGGAAGATCTTGCACGCGTCGTTCAGAACGTTCAGCCAGACGCAGATGTCGACGACGACGACGACGACGACTAATTGAACCGGTTTCTCGCTCGAGCCCTGTTATCTGCCACGAAGAATCCATGAGGAGAGCAACCATGTACAAACCCATCTCGATACCGGAGCGCGTAGCCGGCATGACGCAGCTGGATCGATCGAAGTTCTCATGTAGACATGTAGTGCCTTCGTTAGCGCTAGACAAATCAGACTCGCTCAACGACGAGCTGAGCAAATTCAAGCCGATGTTGCTAAAGATGCCCGGCCGGAAACCGGTGCAGGAGGTCGACAGCGTTCGCAGGCTGCTCCTTGACCCTTCTTTAGACCACTCAAAATTGATGGAGACTTACCACATCCAACCCCTCGAAATCGAGTTGACTTACGAAAATTTCACCGCACAAGAAGCGGTGCAGAAAGTACTGAGCGGTTCGGGAAGCGACGTAGGAGGCGCTGGCTTCAGCATTGTCGGTCATATCGTTCACCTGAATCTTCGGGCGCACCTCGATCCTTTCAAGAAAGTCATCGGGCAGATATTACTGGACAAAATGAAGAGAGTGGAACTCGTCGTGAACAAGACATCCCAAATCGAGTCAGAATATCGGAATTTCAACTTTGAAGTCTTGGCTGGCACTGCCGGAACCGTTGTGAGAGTTCGGGAGCATGGGTGCCTTTTCGAGCTCGACTTTGCGACCGTGTATTGGAATCCTCGTTTGGCGACAGAACACAATCGCGTCACGCTCTTGCTAAAGCCAGAGAGCGTGCTCTTCGACGTGTTCGCCGGGGTGGGACCATTCGCGATACCCGCTGCACGCAAAGGTTGCACCGTTTACGCCAATGATCTGAACCCTTCGAGTTTCGAGTATCTTGTGAAAAACATTAAGCTAAACAAAGTGTCACACAAGGTCGAGGCGTTCAATTTGGATGGAAGAGACTTTCTGAAAACAGTCGTCAGAGAGAAGGTCAAAGAAAAGTATTCGAAAGCGGATGTTCACGTGACGGCGAATTTGCCTGCGATCGCCGTCGATTTCATGGATGTTTTTAAGGACATGGATCTCCCCAAGGGCACCATGCTACATATTCATTGCTATTTGTTTCTCAAGAGCACAGCCAAGAAAGGTTTTTCGGCCGCATGGGACATGGTGCTGCAGAAACTTGGGGATTTCAAAGGAATTTTCAAAATTACGAGTCACGAGGAGCATTTCGTGAGACAAGTATCGCCGTCGAAAGAAATGGTGAGAGCATCCTTCGTGATACTGTATACTGACGAAGATGGCCCAGAAGATGTGGAACCGGCTGTTAAGAAATCCAAACCTGACACCGCTGCTGCTGATTAGCCGTGTAATTACAATTGATGAAATGCAAACAAGTATGTTGATGATTACCGCAGCTGTTCTCATTCTGTGACGCCCTGGAACCGAGCCAGGTTTAGGCCTGGATGAAGGATTTCTTGCACCCGGAGAGCTAGAGGGATACTAGAAATCTTAGCTCCCTGCTGGATTCAGGCTCTTCCCCGTTGAGGTAGTTTTGTAGACAGAGCTATGCGCTGCGCCGAGTGTCCCAGATCCGCGGCGCGCCACCGCGCTCAAGCATTGGGTCTATGGCGCCGCGTTCTGGAGACGGCGCACAGCTCTGATTGTAGAGCATCCATTCGATCCGGGGAGGAAAGGAGTTTACCAAGAAAGATATCCTCATCGGACCGGGTAAGTGCGGAGGATAGCGAAATTTATCTCTATCCGAGCATCGGAGAAAGCTGTGAGCTAATCGAGAAATCCGATGACGACGACAGCGTGGTCTGAAGTTCGGGCTCGCGTTTCCAAAAGAGTCAATCTCGTCTTTCTCGAAGTGTTATCTCTATTTCATCTCACTATGAGGTCCACCGCTAGAAGCTGTAGTCCCTATATTCCGAGTGAATCACGATGAGTTGAGTTTGAGAGGCTCGAACAATCTTCGACAAGCGAAGCGGGGGGGAATTGAAGGCATGCGAAATCGACGCGTCATCGATAGACGAATGCCCCAGGAGCTTGCTCCGGTATTCTCACTACATGATGAATTGTCCCCCTCCCAATGCTCTGGAGAGCCTCTAGTCTGACAGGTCCCGCAGAGCCCGCCAGTAGATCTCCACGGTAGCAGCCTAAACGACAGATCCATTCCGCCGAATAAGACCGATGTAATGTAAACAAGGGCCCGAAAGCTGCGTTGATTCTATCCTCACGACTCACGAAGCTCGGAGGTTTTCCGAAGCCGTATCCCGCTCTCAAGCCGTGGACTACCAGGACAACCAGCTTCTTCAGTTGGGGAGAAGCTTCATCATGTGAAACTCTTTGAAGGAACACTACGCAACCCCATTCGAGGTGCCTTCCCCGTTCTCCGGAATTACACTGATTACACTCGCAGTAAGACAACACAGAGAGACTTCGCTCCTATTCATCAGTCCAATTATGCTCTACACGACTTTCATAGACTTTTTGAGGAGATTCTGGAAGCTGTCACTTGCACCTCCGATTCCAGAATCCCGTCTTCACAAACAGACGGAATGTACAGACAATCTGGAGGACAGTCGGTGCGTCATGGCGAGAGCTCTTGACTGTGACTCAATTTTCCTCTGAACGTGGTCCCTCTATCCGGCTGAGTATCCAATCCATGTCAGGTGGGATGTCACTCCCCCGGTACCTGTTCGATGTGCAAAGCCATGAAGGCATTGCGTTCAAGTCTAAGGCAGCTCAACTAGAATCTCTGCGAAACGTGACTCGGCTAGCCGATTTCGGGGAGAATACACGGCGCGTGAATAGTTGGGCATGCCATGCCGGCACGGAAAGCTGTTAGTTTCTTAGCTGACGGGCTCTTCGTTTCCAGAAATGTCTCTGTCGGATTCAGACACGGACGAGTTTTTCGACGCCGAGGACACTTCATTGAACGCCGCCGGTCTCGGCACGGAACCGACGAGCCTCGATAGCGCAAATGACGCTGGTGACAGGGAAGCTCTTCGCATCCGGGCGACTGAGGTATTCCCGCTGAATTTCGGAATGATCGTGCGTGGTTCCTACAATATGGAAACTCGCGCGGAGCGATCTAACCTCCCGGGCTTTTTTCTTTTCGCTCAGGTCAAGGAACGCGCGCGGAGAATCGAAATCAGGCGACAGCGACTCCTGCGAGAAGATGACGACACTTGCCAGCCTGGTAGATCCGGACTGCTCCCCCATGCCGATGACTGCTCGAGCTCCTACACCGAAAGTATGGCCTCCTCCTCAGTTGAGGGATTGTACCTGAACAAGGTGAGAATCAAAACCTATTCCATCTCTTCAGCCCCAGAAGACAAGGTATTCCGCGCATTTTTGCGGGGGCGTCGGTGTGGACTAAACGGGGAATCCTTCCGATCAGGTCAAGCAGCAAGGCGCTGCATCTTCAACTCCGGCGAGTCAACAGCATTCTTCGTCTTCGCCTGGCGACGTCTCTCTACTGACCCAATCGTCGTCATCCCATCGGACGAATGAGCCCGACTTGGTGGCGTCGACGAAGCCAACATCCTTCCCTCAAGATTTCGCACCCCCCGTTGCACCGCCCAGGTGAGTGATGTGAAGTCTGTGGCTGTTCGGATGCCTGAAGGATGGCGGCCCGTCGTTCCCGCTGATGCCAATGACGTATTGAATCAAATCGAATCCAGGCGACGCAAGAAATCGCAAAGCAAAGCTGGTTCCCGCCAATCGCCGAACCCGTCTGCCTACGACAGCGATGATGCGATGAGCGTCAATTCTGTTCAGCCGATGGGTTTGCCTCGACCCCCAGTGGAAACGCCAACATCATCGATTGGCAGAGATTTCATGCTTCCGGTGGAGAATGTCCAAAGAGGATTCTTCGTCGTCAAACCCCAGGTACCCGAGGCTCGATTAGGAACCTCCTGATGAGAGCCCCTCGCCTCTCTCCTTCATGTATATTGATCGAAGTTATTATTACTCAACTTAACTCACTCAATTACTCGGTTTCACGCTCCTCTCAACGATTACAGGATAATGATGCGGACAAAGGAATGTCAAAAGAAGAAGTTCGTCAAGCCGAGGGAAAACCGCCACGGAGACCGAGTAATGCAAGCGTGAAAACACTTGAATATAAAACTCCGGAGAACTCTCTCAAGCAAAATTATATGCCAAGATTACGCACGGACTCGGGACGCCATTTGTCGGATATTGAAATTCTCGAGCAAATAGAAGTTTTGAACCTTGACACCGGAGAGAAGATTCCCTTAAGTGTGGCTGAGGACAAATTACCGCAGTGTGTGAATCCTCTCAGCTTGCATTTAATGCGAATCACTCAGGAATATGTCAGGTTGGTTTAGGCAGCGACATTATGCCGGGAGAAACTCGGAGATTGAAGGCGGCGAGACATATTCCGAGCAGTCTACCTCGAAGCGATAGATAACGATATCGTTTGCGGAACAGTTAGAGAGTAGATAGTATCGAGAAACTTCAATGGTCGACGATTCGAGCGTGAATGGTCGGGAAACCCTCATTTTCGCTCAATTCCGCACTTTCGCGCAGTCCCTGGTTCAAGAACCGGAAGAAGAAAAGATACCTCAGAAGGAAGGACAAGCTCGAGTCTCAAGATGGACTCGACGCAGATCACGACGAAGAAAGGTGAAACTCCACTGTTTAGAGGAGTTTTGTGAGAGTGTTTGATTTGTGCGAGTCTTCGCTGCCATCGACCGGAGCGACCTCCAGAGCGCTGTCCGCTGACATGGCTCCGGAGATTTCTTTTGGTTTCGATGTTTCGATAGATGATTTCCGTTTTGAGCTTTTTCCTATGCACCGATTCCATATGGCTTACAATCGTATAAAACTTGATCGTTGCCGAGGATAGATATCACTGGTAGTACGTCCGCTTGGCTCGGCATGACTCTGCCGAGCAGTCGAACGCCGTAGGTTTCCCGTGTCCTTTCACCGCATCTCGAGAACACAATTTTGTTTGTTCTTCTCGGGTAAAAACTCCCTATGAGCGAAGTGAGGTACCCTCCACTATGTACTATGTTCGGCTAGGTTCGGAGCACCTATCATTCCCAGAGGTTGTGTAATGCTCAGACTGTTTTTGTTCAGTTTTTGTGGTGTGCCTTGGTAGTACGCTGAGTTTCGCTGCGGTTCCATCGCGCAAGGATCATTTTTGTTCTTCGGTTCGGCAGTGCGAATTCGTTTGGCTCTCACGCTTCATCGCTCAGCAGCGATGAGATGAAACGCTTGGCTTTTCCGAAGATCGAGGCTCGACTTGGAAACTGACAGATCTATGTTTTCAGCTCCACAACGAAACTCGATGGTTCGGATTCAGAAAGCACCGCTCCCGCGGGAGCCGTCACCGATGAGCCGCCGGAAGAGGAGGCATCGGGAACTTTGAAAAAGAAAGCGTGAGTCTTCAAGATCCTGTCACTTCCCATTCATGAAAATCATGCGCATAACATCTAATCGTGTCCATGGATACTAAGTGTATGTGTGAGATGAGTACCTTTCTATTCAATCGTCGAAATTCCGAGGGAGTCCGTGACGTCGTTTCTCTCGACAGGACTAAGCTGAGGCGGAAAATCGGCAAGAAGTTGGAAGCTACAGTGTCCAAAATCAAAACGGTCGCTGACGAGAGTGAGTTCCTGGAACGTTCATCTGTTAAGGAGGGCGTCGCAATCCCACCAAGTCGGGAAGGAGTGATCATCATTCGGGAAAAAGCCTCCCTGCCTCTAATTGTCGACCGATCTCTATGCCTTACAGAACTGCAGCAATGGCACTCACAGCACAGCGCCGAGGACCAGCCAGAGCTCGACTTGATGACTTTGGACACTCAGCAGGATAAAATAAAAGTTACGACCTCGTCGAAAAATCAGAAATCTGACTTCGACGGAATACGCGAGGTGCAAGGTAAGGCGTGTGAGCTTTGAGTTTGTAGTCTGGAGTCGAAATGATTTCCAGGGCCGGATATTTGTCTTCGCCGAGAATTTCACATGAAAATCGTTCTCACAATGACATTCTGCTCGACAGCTATCAGAGGAATCCATCAAGGAGCGATTTGGACCATGAAATTCTCTCATTGTGGCAGACTCCTGGCGAGTGCGGGTCAGGACCACGTCCTGCGCGTATGGGTCTTGCGAGACGCGTTTGAGCACTTCAGTGAAATACGGCGGAAAAGTCAGAACGCGAGCAGGGATCGGGAGGACAGCATCACGGAAGCCAGTATGATGGACCAACGCGACAAAGAGGTAATATTCGCCAGCAACACCAGGGGAGATGAGGAAGGTGCTCGCTGATTCCCGGAATCCCCGAATCTTGATTTCCGGTGTCGTCAGTCAGGTCCAACTTTCCACAGGAGACGAATTCCCAGAATGAAATCAATGCCGAGGATCGGGGACCCTTCATGCCTACTCCATTTGTGGTCTACGAGGGCCATACGGCCGATGTTCTTGACCTCTCCTGGTCGAAATCCTATTTTGTTCTGTCGTCGTCAATGGACAAAACCGTTCGGCTCTGGCACATAAGCCGCGCGGAGTGTCTTTGTGTCTTCCATCACGTCGAATTCGTCACGGCCATCGCATTCCATCCACGAGACGATAGGTTGGTAGGGCATCCCTCATCACTCGCCCGAGCACTGGGAGGGAGAATATCTTTGGCTCTGACTGAGTATAGGATCCGAGTTCCTTCCAATATTATGTATTTCCCCTTGAATTTTTATTACCCTTGACCAGGTATTTCTTGAGCGGCTCGTTGGATGGGAAGCTGCGACTCTGGAACATACCGGATAAAAAAGTGCACTTGTGGAACGAATTAGAAGGAACACACACGAAATTGATAACCTGTGCAAACTTCTGTCAAAATGGGAAATTTGCCGTTGTCGGATCATACGATGGCCGCTGTGTTTTCTACACGACAGACCAGCTCAAGTATTACACCCAAATCGCGGTCCGCAGCTCGAGGGGGAAAAATTCGGCGGGGAAAAAAATCAGCGGAATCGAACCCATGCCCGGAGAGGACAAGATCCTGGTCACGAGTAATGACTCTCGGATTCGACTGTACGATCTCCGAGACCTGTCGCTGTCTTGCAAGTACCGGTGAGTTCCGAAGGCTCTCCGATCTCAATCATCGCATCGGGAAGCCACGGACCGTCCGATGTAGCTTTATGTGTCCTAGTGCGCCGCTAAATGATTTCTCCGACGTGCCTCTCTGCAGGGGTTTGGTGAACGTCAGCAGTCAAATCAAGGCCACATTCAGTCCAGATGGCCGATACGTGATCAGTGGAAGTGAGAACGCATTCACCTACATCTGGAAAACCTACCACGACCATTCAACCTTCTCGTCCGCGCGTAGGGACCGCAACGCATTCTGGGAAAACATCAAAGGTACCTCGTCCATAGCGCGCTGCCCTGGATCCTCGGATTCCCGTTCTACGTAGGGGCAGATCCGAATCTCTGGGTCTCGGCGGATCTCTGACGAGTTCTTACTTCCAGTTCATGAAGCCTCGGTGACGTCAGCTGTCTTCGCCCCGAAAGCCGATATCATCATGAAGCAGTTAGACGACGCTCTCATTCCACCTTCGGTCGCTTCGGAAACCGCCAAAAACTATGTCATAGTGTCGGCAGATTTTCGGGGAGATATCCGAGTTTTCGCACATTCGATGCGCTCGGAATGATCTCGTCAGGGGGCGCTGCTCGTGATGTGTTGTAGCAGTGCAGACGAAGAAGAACAGCTCGCGGGCGCGACCCCCACCTCACAGACCAAGCTGGAAGCTCGTGACACAACGTAAGGAACGATAACGGTCGTTGTGTGCCGTTCTTCTGCCTTTCAATTCATTCCGTCTTCGGAGACCCGACCGGTTTCTTTAGGAGCCGTCGATCTCTGTCAGGGTTGTGTCAATGGAGAAAGCTCACTACATACAACAATCATTGCCTTGGTATTTCCGACCCGGGAAATCAGGCAGAACTGGGATAAGCCGATAATGGTTATTGTCCATGTTGACCCGCTCAGAAATGAGATCAATTAGAATCATCAGATGATTCCCTGCAACTTCGACAGCTAGAAGTTCCCTCGGCTTGGTTTCTTCAGCCCGAAGCAGATTGAGTTCGAGATACATCGTCGAGAAGCGCGCACTGCTTGCAGGATGTTCTCATTCATCATTGATAGATGTTCTCGGTATTTCACAAAGGCCTCGATCTCGATTGTTGCTTGAAAATCTGTTCAGGCGCTGCATACGATCGGCATTACGTTACGATTTGTTGAAGAACGCTTCGGCCAGTCAATCCGCCGGGAGACCACGTTCGAGGTATCGTTAGCGGCGTTTTTTTAAGTTTCACCCGTTTTCTTCCTCTGAGTTCCAATTTTCTATTTTACCCCGAAAGTCGGATTCAGAAGGATAGATATCTAGCAATGATTATCGCTGTAGAATTCGTCGGGGGATGTTATAGCTGGACGCTCTCTTTCACGAGAGTTTATTGAGTTATTGCGAATATAGAAGGAGGATTGTCCGTTTTCATCTTTTTCCTAGTTGAAGTCCCTCGCCGTCCCCCAGGGAAAGAACACTCCTCCGTCGAGGGGTATGAGATACACGATGTCTGCTCTGGGAAGGCTGGAGACTCACGAGTCGTCTCAGACCGATTTAATAGAGGAGCGGAAGTCGTCACGACGAAATTGTGACATTGCATAGCACAGCGAACATGAAGACCTGACTCCGTGCACATCGCACGCAAGAAAGCGAGGCCCGCGTCTCGCTCTCTGTTGGTACGAAAGCGACAGAATAAAACGTGACTTCATGTCGCCACCAGCTCACGAGTTCCGATCGAATACGACTTGGAGGGCGCACTCGAGGTGTCCAGTATGAATATACGCACTTATCGGGACTTTCCAGCGTATCTCCAGAAAAGCTCAGGAGTGGATTCGGGAGGGAACGCTGACGTTCGTACTTCAGAACAACTCCAGCAGCTGTCGGGGCTCCATGTCGTGAATTTGAGGTTCGTTACGGAAATTTTTTTTTGGTGGAGCAGCTCGCAGAGGGATGACCCTATAATTCTGAAAAGGAAGCGCGAGTGCGGAAAGGGGAGGGGGATTGAGGGGGAGGTATAAAAAAAGGTGAAAGAGCCATAGGGCAAAATGCATTGACGCACTACCCAGAAGAGTGGAAAATTCGACTAGAGTGTGAGGCTCACGTAAATAATACCCAGTAAAAAAACCTAAGCCTCTTTACCTGAAGGGAGAGAGCGGATAGTGTTGGATTCGAAGAGCTTAGGATCATACGTTGACGGGAAGACATGAGGAGGAAGGGCATTCCACAAAAGGGATGTGCGGGGGAAAAAGGTGGAGGCGAAATGAGCAGTACGATTGGAGAAAAATTGGACAGAGTACGGGTGCTGCTTGATTCTCTTTCTGGTTATGCGGGCGGGGACCAACATAGGGGGGACGAGGGAAGAGATTTCTTCTGATCGGACATGGGCGTGAGAGCGTTCCTTGAGCGGACGTATCCGCGCGGGGTCGCGTACTTCGTATTTCAGCGACAGAACTTTTCCTGTCGGCAGAAGAGCGAGCAGGCCAGTTGGTTCCAGCTTCGAAATTCGACATAGCTGGCTAACCTGACGCGATTTCGGAGCGATTCGGGTCTTCGCTGATTCTCGGTCTCCGCTTGTGCCAGTCAGCAGAGGAGAGCCATCAGGAGAGGTCTAATTTCGTCCTAGGCGAGGCAATCATTGAGATGGTCTGGAGTATCTAATGGGGACTATGAGGACATCTCGTGGAAAGAAGCCGGCTGCCGGCTTCGACTCGTTTATTCCTGACACTCCTTGAATTTTGAGCGAGGACACGTCAAGGCTGCCATGCGACTCGTTCGCTGCCAAGTCTCGCCGATTTCGGGGTGCAACGTTTCACCCGATCGCCGACAGTTACTTAGAAATACGCTGAGGGCCGGCTAATGATCGTAAGCTCGAGAGCGGAGCCTGCCTGCAGCTGCTTTCCGACTTTCAGAGGGGAGATTGTCTCTGGGCTCTAGACCAATGCTGTCGCTCGAGAAAACTTCGACAGTTCACCATCATCATCCCTTCTCAGAGTCCGAAAATGAAATATATAATGAGAATTCTGAGGCTCGAGGATCTCCAGAAAGATACGGACGATGCGGGAGGTCCATGGTCTATGGCCTATAGGATATGCAGAAATTGACGGGAGGCCCTTGGTTCTTGCGCAGAAATCTTTCTTACCCCGATATCCTGTGTACCTGTTTGCACGAATGACACGGCGCAGCCGAGGGCCTCAACCCCGTCGTTCGCTTCTCATTTGCCCTTCCGGCCCGGGCGTCGTGAAGGAAAATCCGAGTCTCACACCGGAATTCTATTCCCGACTCGATTAGGCGCTCGAGAGAGCGGAGTGATGTCAACGATCAGCTCAGGAGCCTGCAGAGATCTGGTTGTGTCGAGTGAAACGGATTTATTTCTGATGCCACTCGTAACAAGATAGCACCGAGGTACATTGAACCTATTCGTTCCGAGTTCAAGCTACAGCCAAGCCTCGCGTAGAACGATGCATGTATCGGGCTTGAGAGATTCACTTCCAAATATTTTTCATGATCGAAGCGACCTTCGAGACGCTCAAGGCAAATCGCTTCAATCAGAATCTATATCTACGTCGTCGTCCGTCATTCTCTACATTTGAACAAAATTAAAACTAAACGGTTTTCAGCGATTCCCGCACGAAACCGACTCCAAGCCATCGAGGTCCCTGATTGCGTGTTACGCTCTGAGTTTTTCCTAATCGTGAAGAACAAGAATGTTCACCGCTCTCGAAGCGTTCGTGCCCTGAGCAGTGATGTTTTGCAGCGACGACGTCTCTAGGGGCTCCCGATGGGGCTTGCAAGTTTTACAGGAGACTTTCATCGGGGACTCCGAGGAGGGTGCTGCGAATTTCCCGAAAGATCAACGAGAAACCCGCAGCTACAGCTAATACGACTAACGGATGCTTCTATATCACTGGGATTCGACTCCTCGTCCGGTGTGATGAGGTGAAGATGCTCTCTCACACTGGTGGGTCGTTCAAGGGAACGTCCTCAGCGACCTGAAACATCGAAACCGATTAGGCAGAATCCAGATGAAGTTTCTCCTGAAGGGCCGTTCGGCGGAACATCCAGAATTTTCCGTGCTCTAAGTGCTTGTTCGACCCACCTTAGACTTGTCTACATCGGTGTCACCGTCGTCCGAGGGCTCCTCTTCAAGGTTGCACAGATGAGAAACGATGGCTGCTGTGACGCCGTCACCGAGGCAGTTATTCACGGTTCGGCAACGATCACTGACGGATATAGTGGAAAGTTAGACAAACAAACGAATCGATCTGACATACATAGTCATTGCGATCCACAGGATACTCACAGGATCCATTCGGTCGTGAAGAGCAAGCTGACGTCACTGATGGGAGCTCCAATAACGGACAATGTCATCGCCATGAGGAAGAGCGCAGCCGACGGCACCGAGGTCGATGCAATCGAGACTGCAGTCGACGTGATACTGTTTCGAAATGGGAAAGTTATCGGAAGCTCATTGCAAACGACCGGAGTTCTGAGCCATAGCTCACATCTAAAGAATCCTCCATAGGCAACTCACAGCACAGCGAAATAGTCTCCGAGCTCTAAGGAGATGTTGTTCATCTGTGCGATAAACATTGTAGCGGCCGCAATGAAACAAGCTGTGCCGTTCATGTTCACCTGTAAGAGACAAAAATCACTAACGGCGTTCTGATTACCTCAGCTTTCGGATAAGAGCCCGAATCTCAAAGTGGTCTCTCCGTACGAATTCTCTCATGAGGCCACGCTCACCGTGACTCCAATTGGAACGACGAATTTCGCGACACGTTTGTCGACACCGCATTTATCCTCGAGGGTCCGTAACATCAGAGGCATGACGGGAGCGCTGGGGAATTCCAGAGTCGCTTAATTTCGCCGCCCGTCATAGCATAAATTGGTTTAGGAAAGCCCTATGATTTCAAGACAGTGGCCTTCTGAAGATAGTCGAGAATGAGCGCATCCGATCTCGACTCACCTCGCTGCACAGACGAACGCGCACATTCCAGGGTATGCCAATTGCAACAGGAGTTTGAACGGATTTCCTCTCGTGGTCAAGAAATACAGCAGGGGCTGTAGAGCAAAGAGTTCGACCGACAATGCGGACACCACGGTGAAGATGAAGAGAGCCATCTGATGGAACAGTTGGAGAATGTCCCCCGCTTCGAGGATCTTGGCGCAGAGAAGGGAACACACGCCAATGGGAGTTGACCTGTGAGAATGAACTCTTCCTCAGGACTTCGCCCGTATGGGAAGCGGGATCCTCGCCGTTCCCAGAGCTTCACTCTCGAATCAATGTATTCGAGCGCACTCACCACATGATGATCCCAACGAGCTTCATGATGACAGCGTCGAGTGCCGAGAAAAAGTTCTTCAACGGCTCGGCTTGGGCTCCGATAGAGCCTATTGTCGAGCCGAACGCGATGCAAAAGACAATCAAACCTGTGAAGGAAAGCCTGCTCTGAAATTACTGCATCTCGGAGCGATCGATCGGAGAGCGAGGTCTAATCTTACCAAGAGAATTGGTCCCGGAGCGCACCTGCCAGACTCTCTTGGATATTTCTTTCACACTGCCATCAACCTGAGTCAAGTTTTTGTTTTGGTAGGCCGAGTATCCCTGCAAGAATCAATCAGGAACCGCTCTAGTCAGGAACTCGACGTCCACCGTTCCACCCAATCTTCGTCGCCCGGGCTCCACTGTTTCGTTGGGGGAAAGTTCCAACGACATTGAGTGAATGTTAGCTCGAGTGATAGCATCGAGTGCCATCTTCTGTCGAGTGATTTCGCAACTTACACTGTGAGTTGTCGCCTCAATCAGGTTCTCAGGGAACGCATTTCTGAAATGGTCCACCCATGAACTTATACCTACTACGTGAGAGACAAGGGGAAAACCAGTTCTGGTGATTCCGATCGATGTCAAACTTCCAACTGTGGCTCACCAGAACGCGAACAACTATAACGCTCCTAAAGCGATCAGTCGCCCATCTTATATGTTCTAAAGAGGCGCCGAGGTTTTTTTCCCGGTCGACGTGCATCCGGAAATCATGCAGAATCAAAATTCCATTTACCTGACGAGGTCGAGGAAAGTGTCCACTAGAGTGGGAGTCTGACCCTGCTCCTTGTCGTATTGTACAACATTGCCGAAATCTCTCCCGGGATGGATTGCCGTGACGAAAATCAATCCGATGAGAGCCGATAGGAGTGAGGTGATCATAAAGATGCTGAGAGTCAGCAGTGCCATTTTTCCTTGCGCTTTACCCGAAAGGTTGGCGCTCCCTAAATAGATGCATCCGTTAATGAACTTCCTGGTTTCCTTTGGGGCCCATCGCCTTTTCCACCATCGAACGGAAATTGCATGTCGTCGGGCTACTCGTATGCTCCCGACTGGATTTCTCTTTCTTTTGCTTTATTTAGAATCGGCTGCTCGTCTGTTCGACAGGAAAACGGGAAATGCTCTCGTGAGCTTAATCAATTGAGTCGCACGGCGGTTTCGAATTACGAACCAAGCTCCGCAGATTACAGCTGAGGAAAAAGAATCGCATGCTATCTCCAGTCTTTTCGAGCTTCTAATCATGCTTGCATTAGCACTCCATGAGTTTTAGACGACCTCATATGAGCAGCCGGACTCGGGAGATTTGATTAGAATCAATGAGATACCAACCTGTGACGATCGTCGCGATCATCATCGGTAGGATCAGTAACCGGAGACATCGCATAAATAGTTCGCCCGGCAGCTCAATGACCGAGATGGTCTGAGCGCAGGGCTCGAACGTTCGAAGAGCGACTCCAAGAGCGATTCCCGCTATGACGCCTGGAAAAAAAAGGAAATGAGATGGAGGAATTCCTGTGGTATCTTTCGGGGCCAGAGACGGGAGCGTTCAGGGTTAGCAGAACTTTCGGATGGACCTGCGAAAAGGGGTCGAGCATGACGGACAGGGTTCATCCTCTCGCTAATCGCTCGAGGGGAAGAAGTGGCTTGTGCGGCAAACGGATTTACGGCTGCCTGTCCCACACCACCCTTCATAATATCAGAAGTTCTGATCTCTTGCTTCAATGGAAAGTTCTGTGAGAGAGACTTGTCCAAATAACACCGATTTCAACTCCAGTACCATTCGGTCAAGCAGGTCCAGGTCCACCAAAAACTCAAGACCATAATCATTCACAGCACCATTTGCTACATTCTGAGTCTCCAGACAGGTTCACCATCGGCCCCTGCATAGTCGAGCTCGACCCGGGCGACTGTATTGCAGCTCGAATCTGGGACGACTAGCCTAGTATGCAATCGAGGTGTTTAGCGGAATAATTCAACCCCCCATTGAACGACTCTCGACGGACACAGCTCACTTCGAGACTCGTTCTTATACGAGCAGTCGTTTTCCATGATGGTGATTTTTGTTCCTTTCTCAGGGGAAAGCTTACTCTGATGAAAGAAACTATGATCGATTTGAAGATGGGAGGAATGATTCTGGGAACGCATTCGAGGGCGAAGATTCTATGTACTCGATTGACCCGCAGGTAGAAAAACCTGCTCGTGAGCGATGACCTTGGCCGACTCAATTACCCAGATATTTTTTCTCGCCGAGGTTAACTTCATCAGCGGAGTAAGCGACTATCAGAATGCGATAGAGGCGTCGTGACAGTGCTGGTGGCTTTGCTCACCGTACAGGTACAGAACGAGTCTGCGGCTAGGACTAGCGGGCGCACAGCACCTCGCGCCGTGCGCGGCGCCTCTTGTTCCAGTTACGAAGCCAGCGAGTGCTTAAGTTTTTCACCTGAACGTTTGGAGAAATATTTTCTCTGCTTTGTCTGATAGATGGTGAGGTCGAACCTACAGAATTGAAGCACGTCCATGGGGTTGACCTTGTCACGCTGCACGTCACGCTTGGCATGTATTCAAAATCTGTTGCCGAAATTTTCGACGCATTCTTTCGAAAGGCTGAGAGACGTCCGAGGATCCGGGGGGTCTCCCGAGGAACCATCTCCTATCTCGACTCGGATTGGCCGCGGACAATTTGTTCAGGAGTCGTGGAGATTGAGGCACCCTTCGCTTTTGCTACAGGAAATGCTCCGGAGAGAATCGTTTGATGTTTGCTGACTCGTGAGCGCATGCTAAGTGTGAATAATCACTCACCAGCGATAGTAGCGACGAGGAAGAAATTTTTTCGAACGATAGCGGCGACCACAGTGACGAGGGTTGACATATCGGAATCGCTAGATGAAGCGTCCGCTTGATGGCTGCAAATCGAAATTCTTATTTTTAGGTCCCGCACTCAGTAGGCAATGACATTGCACAGGCGAACGCAGGTGATGAGCTCTTCCTGGGAGTATCCGAATCAATATTTCTCCGAGGAAGCGACCGAATCAGAGGAGATTCTCTTGTGAATCGACGCTTCATCTAGAAGGAACCTCTGTGCTGCTCAAATCAGCGCTCTGTTGTCCCAACAATCTCCTTAGGTGGGAGCTAAGAGCTGATTCTTTTGGTATAACTCCGCTTACGGGGATTTGTCCGGCCCTATCAAGACCTGATCGGAATACTCGACGAGCCCACGAACCCTGAGATCCCAAGTGCTACCGATTCAGATGAAGATTTCGCTGCGCTAGCGCTTCTCGGGCCCAGACAAAGCTTCCGATTATAAGCGACTTCACGCTTTAGCGACACTGGTGCATCATACCGTCATAATGAATCAGACACCTCGTACTCTGGGTTCTCCGAAGGCAATCTCTGCCAAATACGTCACACAATTACTCAGTCGAGCAGCCTGTCAGTTTGTTTGGAAGTCGCTCATTCGACTGAGAGACCCAGTGGCAGGTCCCGAGTTCGTCACCACGAGTTGAATCTCTAAGTGAACGATGACGATTTCGACACGAACGATGGAAATTGAGGGGTTCGTCTTATTCCGTCGAATCGCACAAGTTGTCTATGCTGATTTGCTCACTATTGACCTATTGTGTAACGGAGACTCACGCATCAATCACGGAACACCGCACTGGTCGGTTCCAAGCCATGACGCTGCGACTGTCTCACTATGGTTCTCGGTGGTTTCGTTCACGGATAGAGCCTCCCGACCGTTTTCGAGCTCCGATATTGCGGACAAGAGGAAGCGAGGCGATATTGCCGTCAGGTTGTCAATACCGGGACATCGCATATATCGCTGGTCTAACCAACAGGCGCGTTGTAAAGTCTGGTCGTCGCGAGTCCTTTGTCCTTTCAGTGAAATTGGGGACAAGAGTGCAACGCCTTCGAAGTAATCGTTCGCGACAGACTTTGGAGAGTCTGACTCGCGGAACGGAAGATTCCTTTCCGAAGGTTCCAGCTCCGGAGCGAAAATGAAGCCCCTGCTCCATTTCAGAGACGCTCCTCGAAAGTCGGCCATATCATCTGCCTTGATCGCGTGGTCAAACAGCTCGCATCGGATGCGGTTGAAACGATCGAAACTGAGGCGGCCGCTGGAATTCTCCTCCTGTTTCTGAATGAAGGGAAATGCAGAGCCATTGTCAAGACCTCGAGCCTCGCAGAGCGTAAATACAGGTCGTGAAAATCAGAGCTTCGAGAAGTGTCAACGGAGGCTTGAGGTGAATCAAAGCGATGTACAGATTCAACTGAAAATCATAGAAATAGTCCAGAGGGAGAGGAAGGCCCTGCGCGCACAGAGGCACTATGTCTGCGACCTCATTCTCTGCTCCGTGTCGAGAAATCGGTCGATGACAGGGCGGAGGAAAAGACAGAAACAGTTTCTATTGCGAAAGTCCCGGAATTGAATTCGATGTGTTGACGAGGCAACTGCGCCGCGGTCGAGCCTGTGCGATGGAGGAACCCAATCGGGGACCATCGGATGGTCAATCGGGTCCCTCAATCGCTATCATATCGGAAGAATCCCCCTCAGATCGCCGAAATCGAGCCCTAAATTGAGAGGTCAAATGTACTAGCCTCTGGGTTCATTGGTCGCTTCATTTAATATGACATTGGACGAGAGCTCAGTGAACGTTCAAATTTCACCACAGGGTCGCTCCTGTGGCCGTGACGAACCTGCGGAAACAAACACCTACGCTCGATATCCTGATCCTGACTTTCTGTAGATGTGCTTTGACATGGAGCAGACGGCTCGCTCCTGCACTGAGTTCACCATTTTTCCGAGCGCACTCGATGATGGGAAACATTCACCACTTGCTGTTCTGGTTTGGAACGCTTCGTTTTGTTATAGAGGTTCGAGGCCTAGTTTAGATTCAGAGGACAGAACGCTGAGACCAGAGGAGAGTATGGTGGCCAAACGAGAAAGGGAACTTGCTCTCCACGAGTACGCGGCTGGTGGCGCGCGTGCCTGCGAGCAATTTCCGTCGGGCCGTGCAATGTTTGTTTCCATCGGAGTAGTCCACCAGCGTAACCCCAAATTACTCGGAATATTTTTCGTGGCTCATGGGTTTTTCGTGATCCATGGTGCGCGACATCCATATACTGCGATTAGAAAAATTTTCCCCATTCCCAGCCGGAGACAGGCTCAGTTCCTGCCGCCTGATTCTGCAGGTGGGCCCGTTTCGAGCCACGGTCTGCCTAGCAACTGACCCTGATGACTGGATCCACTCGAGGCTTTCCAGGATCGTTGGATCTCGCTGGAAGGAAGCGTGATAATCTCCGGGGAACAGGAGGCTTGGAGCTGGAACACAGAACTGCCACCCATCGCTTTCCCAGCGATGAACATCTACAATATACAAGGGAGTCTCGTCTCGAGGGATCTCGCGGGACCGATAGAATATCTTCGTTATAATGAAAGTACCCTGTAGGGATATTCCCCGTCATTATCTACATGGCAAGCCAGTCAAGCGGGGAGAAATGAGTTCATTTTGCGGGAAATTCGTAGTAGCGGTGTTCGTTCACTGTAACGAGATTTCACTGTATTCGGGGTCTTCAGGTGGCAACGTCTCGCTCGCGGTGCCGAACGATCTTGGTCACGTAATAGGAGGCCTCACGCATAGCTTAGTGACAACGTATCGGTTGCTCGTTTGCACATTACAATGCAAGCGCTCGATAAACCAAATAGATCACGGGAGCCCGTGGACATTGCGCCTATGGAGTTTGATCCCGACCTTGAGTCTGCTGATGTTGTTGTGGAGTTGAGAGAACACCGAATCGAACGGCGGCTGCCAGTGTGGGAACACAAGCCCCGCTCGAGGGGCCGTCGGCTCTCTGACACGTTGCTCACCGATCCATCGGACCGCAGACCGCAAAGGACCGATATCTCAGCCCCGGCCCCGGAATCGCCTCATTTTCTCAAGTTCAAGTATTTCTCTCGAGTCACTCAATGAGAGGCCTTGTCAAGAAACGAGACTGTCGTGAGTTGTTCGCGACCCCAGACAAACTTGTTCATGATTGGAGGTTCGATTGCTCGATGCGGCCAAGCTTTGGATGCCCATCGAAGACATCACAGGGAACACGTCCGACGTGTCTCAGTAATTCCCTCCTCGGGGAGGTCCACGTGCTCCGAGGTATTCGCGAATTGTTCCCGAGAGGGCATTGAAGAGCAAGAGATTTCTGGGATAAGGCCCGCGCAAGCTCGGGGTTAGGGACCGCCCAGGTCGTCGCGTGACAATCGAAATTATTCAAGGGGTCTCACCTGATGGTCTCTGTATTCCTTTGGATTGGTACACGATTCCGGTTTCCGACAGAGATCGTCATCGACCGCCGCGGGTCTCGGATGAAATGGACCGACACTGACGAGACCTTTCTCGGGCCGCTCTATGATACCTGTATATTAATTTTGTCTCGCTTGCGGCGATCTTCGCTCTGCTATGTGTAAGGAGCATCGCTCGGATCAGGAGGGAAGTGACGGTCAAGCACGAACATCCGCGAGACAGTATATTCTGGCTGGATAGGTAGGTTTCGTTCTCAGATTCCTCTTGGGGTCCGAAACAGGGCCGAATCCGGACCATCCGACACTTCCATCGACCGAGGGTCAAGGTCAGCCATCTAAGTACCTACGTCGTACAATCATCGTGGTCGAAGCGCGTTATGAGACGATCAATCAAAATATCATCATCTTCGAAGTCTAATCGAGTTATATAGGGCTCGGTAAAACTTTAGCCACAGCTAGAGACTGCTTCATTATTGAACACTCGGCTCGCAATACCGGACAGATCCTCCGAGGTACCGTGCTTCCTCATCGGACCCCAGTCATAATCATATTGTAGTTGCGATTCCGCTCGGACGACTCGTCTAGCGATATACTTCACCGTGGTTGGTAGCAGTGATCGAACCGCGGTCGAAGCATGATTTTCTCGCGTGCCGTTCCGGATACGAGGAATATCATCTTGATCGCCTGTGCCGAGACTCAAAAATCGATGTGTCTAATTTCCCTCACGACTTCATCCGATATCACGGTGATTTCATTTTTCCCTCTGCGAGCGAGCCCTACTGGCGGTTCCGCCATCGAAGGTCATCTGACCTTAGAATCGACGGTTTGGAGAGGTCAGCGTGATCCGTGGTGAATCACAATGTACGCGATTATTGTCAACAGAGCTGATCTACGTCAGGGAGGTTTGCCCTAAGGAAGCTCTTAACTTACAAGCGGAGCGGTCGAAACGAAAACTTCGCGATACGGTGATGTATTTGACGATATTGATGGAACAAAAGCGTCAATAGCTATTAGCTATCCATGATCTCCAAGAACTTTTCTCGCTCTCAGAATTCAATCCGTGTCATCTCTAAGGCACAACGCTCAAAGGGAGTGAACTTGTTTTTTTCTCACTCCCGGATTTTCTTCCCATTGAAGTCGTCGGCCCCGCTACCATCCGAGCTCCTGGACGCGGAATCGGAGAGTCAGCTCTGATGAGGCGAGATCGCCGAGCTGCGTTCCCGCTCGTACAGGCTTGCAATTCGACTCTCATTTCGGGTTCTGGTGAGTGATCCGAATACAGAACGAGCGTAAAGGTTCCGGACATTTCGTTTCAATGGTTGTACAGATATTCGAGACGAGTTGGGTGGTCGCAGACGACCGACGACCGGTATTGTCTTTCCGCGGTGTCTGGAACGCCTGGAGTCGACCCTTGGAATTCATGCTGAGGCATAGAGAACTGAGACGTCAACTACTGAGACCGTGGGAGAGAAAATAGGCGGGAACGAGCAGAGAGGTTGTCGTGATGGTTTTTACAGGAGTTTGCAGATTCTTCCACAGCCGAACCGTTGGTCAGACAAGGACACATCCACGATTCGGTTTTCGAAATGATCAGATTCCAGTGCACAGAGCGTGAATGAAGCACGAATCTCTAAAAAAATATTTTATTCCACGTTGTGCAATGAAAGACACTGATCCTGAGCTCGCTACAGTTTCGCCTTGACGCAATCCTTGAACGAAACGAATTTGTCCCCGACGGAGGCGCTCTTGAAGAGATCTTTGGTTTCGCCCTCCATGGTCTCCATCGAAATAGACGGGTCTGATCCGGGTAACATCGCGCTGGCGTGCTTCGTCAAAATACCTTTGACTTGATTCCTCAAATCTGAAGAGAGCTCTCCCGACTTGCCACAGCTCTCAATGGCGTCCATGGCTCTGCTGAGGTCCATGATCGCCAGAGAGGACGCCACAAGAGAGGCGAAAACGAGAATCACCGAGATCTGCGTCATGTTTGGCAGAAGTTCGCTCGACAAAGACCGATTGTCGCTATTATATAGCGGTTTGCCGACGTCAAGGTGTGATTCCGACCTTGGAAGGTTCTTTTTAAATTATCGACGCCGCCCATCGTGTAGGGGATGTCAAAGCACCTGGAAGCTGGACTGACCAGCACTTCAAACGGCGATTGTTCGTGTCCGTATCGATTGCACGAATTTACAAGCTCTCTACCGAAGCGCTCCGAACTCAGTCAGTGTTTGTGTACGGAAAGGATCGGTCTCATTACACGGACCGCTCCACAATGGAAGGGAAAAGAAGGTAGCTAGTGCAACACCAAGGATTCGAGGAGCTCTTAACTATAGCCCCGGCTCACAACCAGGCTTTTGACAGGTCTACTTCCGAATTTCTCCGAAAAATCGCCCGAATCTCTGCTGAAGGAATCGCATCCGCAGAATCGCGCGTCAGAGGCAGGTGATGTCTCGGATGACGCATACTCGAACGCCAATTCTGAAGACGCGCCAGTCATCCTGCGATTTCTCTCATATGGATCCGAGAGAAGGGGCTTACGCTTCCGTGGAAGCGAGATATAAGATGGAGGCTTTTGGTTTGCGACACTTCGGGTAACTCTCACCATTCGTTCTGGGCGTGGTATTGAGCATGGCGTGTCAGAATGAGAGAATTTACGGCGACTCCCCTGATCAAGATCATGCTGAAGACCGGACCTATCGCGAGACTTCGATGAGCGATAGCGTGGGTATGCCAGAGACAAGCGTTCCACGTGAGAGTCTAGCCTGCACTCCTTGGAGGCAGTGTTCATTGAATGATCCGAGCTGCGAAGTTATCCTAGCAAGCGCCCGATCACACTCCAACAATCAGTAAAGATCATCAGCACCAACGAGGTTGCTCTCTCAGTGGTGCTCCTCCAACAACTGTCATCGTGAAACCGCCGGGAAATTGGAACACGAGCTTCGAACTGTTCGGACAGATCTAATGGGGGTCGAGACGCCTAGAATTGATGTGTCGAAGGAGCTGCAAAGGGTGAGAATCACTTCCGTCGGAGCCGGCTCCCAATGGGTAGTTCATATCCTGAGCTTCTAAACTATTCAAATTTTTCGCCCGCGTCAGCCTCAACTGCCGCCCGGCGATTCATTGCTCCGCAATACGAATAACTCAGGGAATAATTCACCGAGGAAATATAGAGGGGTGCCTTCCTGATGGCCGATCCCGGCACAGGAGCCGCGGTCCTGTTTCATACCGCCGAATCGAGTTACCACGATTCGTAATGAGTAATGACGGATAAGTTCAAGAATCCCGGGATCTGAAGCGAACAATTTTTCCTTTGCAGGCTCGAGACCTCGTTGCCACTCTGGGCTTCAAACCTTTCCTCCCTCAAATTCCACTCGAGGTTCGTTTGAGTTTGGCCGAGACCTTTTCATCAGAAGAGAGTATCGATCGCCTCACAGCTGCGAAGCGCTTGCATCGAAGTATAGCTACCGAAGTGAGTTGGCCTTGAAGCATCGTCAGCGATCCCATAGAATGTGAATTGGATGAGAGACTCTCGGGGAACTTCGCTCAATGTCCTCCGAGAATTCGTCGTCACTCGTTTGACCAGCGTTTTTCCTCCCTTGACGCTAGTACCCCCTTTGGGAAGAATATACCGACCTCGCAGAATGGCTGGACCAAATGGATGCCGAGGAAAGGGAAGCTGAAGAGGTTCAACGAAAATATCAAGAAGACTGCGAGATCCAGCTGCAAGAAGCTCTGCGGGGATTCGAAGAATTCATGTCAAAGAATGGGGTTCGCTCTGGTCATCTAGATCAAGTGCGTCGGTGATACTCTTCATCTGCCGACATGACTTCTAGCATTTCCTTCCGCATCCATTCTGTGAAGCACGGAATTCAATCGACTCCTTCCAGACGAGGATATCGGGCCGAATGGAGACGAAGGATGATCTCCAAGTGGGTACGAGCTCTGATGGAGGATCAGAGTTGCGGCGAAGACCCTCTTTCGTCGCAGATACCAGCCAGAGTAATATCGAGGTATTCTTCAGAACCGCATGAGCGAGGTCACGTTCAGGATTTTGGGAATCCTTTTCAAACTTGACTTGATGACTTGATCTTCAGGTTGGAGCCATTGGAGGGACCTGCTCGAAGAAACCTATCTTGCCGTGAGTATCCAAGTTCACTCGAAGATGTCAATCCTCTTCTCAGAGCTGGGCTCGCCGATCTTATCCGATCGTTTGCGATCTCGTACTCGAGATCTCCGCATTAGACCCTTTTGGTAATTTTCTTCTATCGTTGAAGGGTGACTTCGACACCTCATGTCCCGCAGCGAGCGGGAAGACCCCGCGTCAGCGACGTCGAGCCAGAGGATCTCTTCTGTGCGCAAGCAGGCTCGACAAGCTACCGATCTCGGGCTCCGTCTTTAACCCACGCCGATTTTGTGCGAAGCAAAACTTTCGAATTGAGTAAGAGCCTTCTCTGATCCTGGAGTCTCTAATCATTATCCCTGCGTCTTGCTGATATGGTGGGAGTATCGCTATGGAGTAACGTTGAATTAATTTCAAAAGGGGACGAAAACGCGGCCGCCTCCAATATCCTTTGGAGCTCTTTCGGTGAGTTCGAGCTCCTACGTCCGCTCTGGGGGAAAGTGAACCGGGTGGAAGCGATATACCCGCTCGGTTGATTCTCGTAGCATATTTCCGGAACTCTACAACTTCCAGATGCCCAGGAGAAGGAAGCCGTCGGGTCAGCTAATCGTACGCAATCTAAGGAACCAGATGTGACTGTCGTTAAAAATCCGTCCGTTCAAATGGATGTCCAACATACCGAGCAAAGTGGTAACATTCCGCGGATCGCAAGCGGACGGAGTCGTCCCGTTCTTGCGACGAGGGGCGCCCGTGAGAGCCACCTCCAGAAACCGGTTAAAGTCCCCGCGAAAATCGTAAGACGACGCGTGATGCCAGAGAACCGCATCTCGTAATAATACGGTCCGATATTGGAACCTTCGTGAAATGAATGAATATCTTGAAGAGGAAAAGTTCTCATCGAAAGATTCTTCTTTGTTTCACAGCAAGTGTTGCCTTCGAAGACTTCGTCAGGACTTCCAGCCCGGCAGCTACCATCCCGCAGACCTGTTCTGCCGTCGAAAGATCCGAGCTCACTTCCTTCGAAGCCCACCGTGGCTCAACCGAGTCGAACAACCGCGGGAATAGCAAGACCCTCGAAACCAGGACGTTTACCGGTCCGGAAATAAGTGATGCCGCTCTCTCGCGGCCAACGTAAACGCACGACGAGATTGTTTCCACCATTTCTTCATTTGAGTTTTAGGCGCAGCGCATATAAGTCGAATACGAGGATTTACGGAATGTCTTGGATGAGTGAAGCCAAGCTGAAAATGTGATCAGCACCCTGTCCGAGACAGCTGCTCCTATCTGAATAAACTTTGGGAGCAGTTCAATTTGTTTTCAATTCAGTACTATAATCATTTTCATTACCCGCGCTCCTGGCCGGAGAAGAATAAGCTATGATCCAGGCGACTGGTCGCTGCGATCTGGGCGAATTGTCGCTGCGATCCGGGCGACTGGTCGCTATTTTTATTCATCGCTCCCTCATGCCCACTAAACTTCAGCGTCTCCTATGAAAGATGGAACGACCTTCAACGGGAAGAACCCCTAAAATCGGATCATCACCAGGATACGAGTCAAGTATATCTATCGGTCCAGCAGTAGATGGTTCCGGTTACAGGTCTCCGGGAACACAATGGAAGCCGCAACCAAGGGTCTCATTGGTTGATTATCTTGAATGTTTTCAGCAAGTCGAGGTCTTTTGGCAGTATAGTCACACGTTTGGCGTGATTCGCCAACTTGGCAGCATCGACGAAAACGTTTGTCATATAATACTCGGTCGCCGTTTGAAGCGCCTCCATCGCTTCGACAGTGAATCTGTAAGCTGAATTTTCCGCACTAACTTCCGCACTTATGCTCCTAACAACCCGCATGAATGACAGTCGAGCTATCAAGAAGCCGGGATCCTTCTGTAGCCTCTGCATCTCCTTGGAAAGGCTCTTACTGACGGCTACAGTTTTCGTTGGTACGTTTTTCCGTCGCGATGCGGCCCGTTTGGACTGTGTTCGAGTTTCGGTGACAGTCTCGACTGCTGCAGGAGGCTGTCGCTTCGGTGACTTCGTCGATAATTTTGGAGCCGTTCGTGAGGTTGCTGCCGATGTTTTTCGCGAAGATTTAGTCGGAGAAAGTTGCGATGTTTGACGCGGAGAGGGTGATGGCATCGGATCATCCTCTCCGGCCTCCTCTTCGGCCTCCGGTACGTCTTCGGGTGGCTCTTCATCGTCGGACGGCGGGAATAATGGCGCTTCCGGTTTCGCAGACAGCGGCGTTTTCCTTCGAGTTGGCGACTTCGGCTTCAACGCAGATTTCTTCGTTTTCGATCTAGCGGTTGATTCAGGAGCGGTCTTGGACTTCGACCGGAGCGCTTTGGGCGAAACTCCCGGAGCTGATTTCGTCTTCGGAAAGGCTTCTGTAGTTTTCGCGCTGGCGAGGGGTGTACCTGGCGATCTGTGAGTTTTCGAGGTGAGAGGCGGTTCCTTTTCGGGACTTTCCTCTGGGACGAAACTCGAGTTCGCCCGCTGCTTCTTCGGACTCTTCGCCCCGGAGGCGGCTCGTTTTGAGGTTGATCTGGAATACAGTAGCTATGAGGTGCTATATTGGTAGGGAAATACCGCAGGGAGAACTGATTCATATTTCTCTAACCTCTCGAGCGCGGATGGAATTCTATCCCCACCACCACGTCCGGGCGGAGGCGACGAGCCACGAAGAGGGGATCTGAAAATTCGTGGGGGGCTAGTACAGAATTCGGGGAAACTTGACCGCAGACCTCGATTATTATCAAAAGCTTGCGCTCTGGCGTGAGTTGCGAGGCGTGGCTCACCTCTGCTGAGATCTACCGGTCGAACGGTCCGCTCTGGTCCTCCCAGGGGTGGTGGAAGCTTGCAGAGTCAAATCCATAGACATTCCCGACTGACTCCTTCCCGGCGTGACTCCGGGCACGCTGTAGCAGAACGTATTCTGTTCGACTCTCTGACGGAGCGATTCCATTACAATAAACATCCGAGCGAAGAACTCTTGAAACTTACCTTGCACTGCTTCTCTGTGATACGTCTAGAAAAGGAGCTCTCGATTTCCTGGCACCCGAGCTGGAAATGGAAAGTCTTTCAGAGAGACGATGGGGTACTCATTGGTGGAAGGGAAGGGAGGACGCCAGATGTTTACGGTTCCCACGGCCCGATGTTTACTGTCCCGGATTCCGACGAGCTACGGTATGCCCCCCGCATTATCGATACCCTCCTCTGGGCTCGGCATTTGAGAGGATGCCAGACAAGGTTCGGGGAGAATCCGAAATGGGCGATAGTTTTGTGACTGTGACCATGAGAGTTACACGCGCCAGCGCGAACGAATCTCACGAATGAGGGTCTCATCAGAATCCTCAGTCCCTTGTCGTCAACTGGCAGCAATAAATTAGTTGATGCACCTCCGGTCGATTACAGGGGATCTGTACAGGTGAAAACTAAGCTTCCAAGCAGTTTTATCAGCAAGACCACCGCTATGTGCTTGATGACGGAATTTACGGGAGGGATCGTTCGATCGGCGCCCCATGCTTACGAGTACTACTGTTCGCGAAACTTACCGCGACAGTTTTTCCTCCCGGGCTCTCTCCGCTTCCGCTTTCTGTTTTTTCGCCATTCTGAAAATCGAGAAGCTTAGAATTCCGGTAAAGTCGTGTCTAGTGACGGAGAGCTCTTCGAGCTCGCCGAGGAAAGCATGTCACATTGATCACGCCCACGGGTACTCCGAGTGCGCTTTGAAATTTCGCTCATCGCATTGGAGCAGGTGGTGACACAGCCTACATTTTATCGACGATCCTTTTCCGAACTTCAAGAAGATCAATAGACGATGTATTCTGTTGTCTCGAATTGCTTGCGCTCGACGCGGTCGAGGACGATGAGTAGGACTCATTTTCTCTGCCTTTCACAAAAGTCCTCCGCTTAGTCTCTGTGCAGTCTCTGATCGAGTGCTGCTCTATGCTTGCGATATAGCTATGTAGGCGATCCTCTAACTTACCGAGGAAACTCATGCTTCCGGCTCAGCTGACCTCCGGGTGTCTATTCCCGAAGAAATATCGAAGAAAAGATCCTTGAAAGTCCACAGCCACCAGAGAGTATAGTCGCGGAACTGCCCCGGTGCCTTCTCACAAATTCATTTGGCGCCGAGCGCATTGGGCGCCAAATTTAAATCCTTACCGGTAGGCCCGGTGTGGCGCCTCGATCAGGATTCTGGCTCCGTGAGCGCTGCGAGGATCCGACCTTGCAACCAGAGACATCCAGCATCCGCAAGTTATTGGACGAATTCTGTTGATTTAACGTGGCGGGTGCAGGACGTGTTCGATATCGCTCCGTGACTTTTAGTGAAAATCTACCCGAGAGATCCGACCCGAAAGCCTCGAACCTCAGCGGAATCTCATCACAAACCCCCGTCGTACGCTTGGAACCAGAATCTGATCTCCGGAGAAGACATCCGCTGAGAGAGATGAGTTTAAAGTTGGATTGCACGATCTGCAAACGCACGGTCAGCAGAGACGGCGAAATCCGCTCTTGTGGAATGGGATGCGGGGCTCTGCTGCATCCATCCTGCTTGATGAGTCCAACGGGCTCCGAGGAAACTCCTCATCGCCCAAAGTGCAAGAACGGAGAAAAAGCACTCCCGACGAACGCTCTTATTAATGACCCGTATTCTCTTTCTGACGGATCTGATGCTGGGAATGAAAAGCGAGCTGGCAGACGCCAGAGCGGAGATCAAGCTGCTCGAAGCGTCCTCTCGGCTATATGAATCATATCCGAGTTTTTTCAGTACGCCAGGACTCAGGGGAACAGAAAAGAGCCCAGCTCACCGCTCGTCGTGACGCCTATCGCATCGACCAGCTCTCAAACAAGCAATATGCACAACTGGAGACGCCGAAACTCCAGACTGCGCGGAAGCGATCAGCTGCCGCATCTCAAGACGACCGGCGATCACCATCGGAACCATGCGGAGACTTGCCGGTCGCGGCGGCCCCAGCCAGGGTCATACGACCCGACCGCATCTTCATTACTCAAGTGGCACCTGAGGTGAAGGCGAAGACGAATCTAGAATACGTGCTCAAGGTGACCGATAAAGTGAGAAACATCATAAAGGTCAAACCCCGTGTACCGAACCCCTCCTTCGCATCGTTCATCGTGGAACTCGAGAGAGGTGAGGCTGAACGATCGTGAACGATCCGGCCAACTGGAGGGAGGGACTAGCGGTGAGAGAGTTCGATCGACGCGTCTTCCGTGTCTCGGAGCAGGGAAGTGCCGAGATGGAGACCACTGTGATTGAGAGGGCCCCGGGGGACTCCTAATTCTCAGTGGAGGCCCCATCCTCTCCCCTATCCCAAACACGGACCGGAACTCTACCGACGATGGAAAACAAAATCTAAACGAAAACGAAAGCGAAGCGAGATCTACTTCGGTGGGTGCAGAGGAAAGCTCCGACGACCTTATCGGCGAAGAAGCAGCAGATATGGTCGTCGGATTATGGAATTGTGAGGGACTGCGGAACAAGTTGAAACTGATCACAGGAGATGTTCTGAACAAATGCGACGCTTTCGTGTTCACCGAGACGTGGGAGACGAGTGAGCTCCAAATACCGGGCTTCTACACCGTCAGCTGTCTCGCCGAGAAGAGAGAGGGCCCCGGGCGCCCCAGTGGGGGAGTCACGGTGATTTACAACAACAAACTGATTGGAGCAAAGATAGAACGAAATGACGACAACACGATGATCATCAGCTCGCTGAACTGTATGATCATAGCAATGTATGCGAGTCCGGCGGAGAGTCATGGCACCTTCGAAGACAGACTGGCACAGATCGCGTGCTGGGTCACCCCCGAGATCCCAACAGTCCTTTGTGGAGATTTCAATGCCCCGCTCGACAAGCCGCAGAACAAACGCACGGTCACTCTGAACGAGACCCTTAAGACCTGGGGTTCAGCCCTCCAGACGGACCCAGCGACACCAACTTTTGTGGCTCACCAAGGACGCTCGACGATCGACATATTCGCGACGAATGGAACTGCCCGCTACAGGGGCATGCGGAGCAGGCTGCCAATCTTCGGAATGACGGCACATCTGCCGGTGGCAATGTCAATTCAGACGCAGAGATGCGAGACCAAACCAAAGAAGAAACGACCGAAGACTGCTCTGAACCAGGCCAAACTGCTCGCCGGGGCACGAACGTTACCAGCCCTTCCTCCGGAAACGAAGGAGGAGATCGAGGAGTCCTATCGCTCAATTAGTAGTATTATCTCCGATAGCGTGCTCCCTACGAGACAATGGAACTCGAAGGAATGGTTTGACGCGGAATGCTTTCGAGCCTTCAGAAAACTCATGAACGCCACGGTCCTCGTTACCAAGCACGGCCTCGCCGACTCAGAACTGTTCGAGCTGAGAGCAAGCTATAGGGTACTCCTTCGAGAGAAGAAGTAAATGCACTTCGAAAAGCTCGAGTTGAGGATGATAGAAGAGTCGAGGGCGAGACCATACGTATGCCTAAGACGAGATTGTGGAACGAGAGCATGTGAGATCCCCACGAACACACTCTTGGAACCTTTCTCTTCGATGTTCGGTTCGAGTGACACAGTACCGCAGGGGACTCCAGAAATCAAGTAGGTGAGATCGCCAGGCGATCAGTTCGAGCACGACGCTCTGAACGCTCCATGGACAACGCGGGAGGTGTTGCAGGCTATCGCGAGGCTTCCGAGACGAAAAGCGCCCGGTCCGGATGGCGTCCTCAATGAGCACCTTCAGCAGAGTGGTGCCGTCATTCCCCAAATCACGGATCTGATGAATGCATTCCTGCTGAACGGACTGATCCCGAGCACCTGGAGCTCATGCCTCATGACGATTATACCCAAAGGGAAGGGTAATCCGATGGAGCCGAGCTCCTGGAGGGGAATCGCGAAAAGAAACACTCTGAGCAAGCTTCTGTCATCTTTAGTGACCGAAAGACTGAGGGACTACCTGAACTACAGAGACATCATACCGCAGGAACAACATGGATTTACACCGGGAAAGTCGACCTTATCGGCCTGTAGAGTTCTCTTAAACAGGGTCAAGGAATCGACATCGAGAACGGGAAGACCACTCTACGCGGTATTCGTAGACTACAAGGCTGCTTTTGACCTCGCCTCCCGTTCCATCATCGTTGAGAAATTGGCCAGAGCCGGTGTCGCCGGCAGGATTCGCCATTCTGAAAATCGAGAAGCTTAGAATTCCGGTAAAGTCGTGTCTAGTGACGGAGAGCTCTTCGGGCTCGCCGAGGAAAGCATGTCACATTGATCACCCCAACGGGTGCTCCGAATGCGCTTTGAAATTTCGCTAATCGCATTGGAGCAGGTGGTGGGTGACACAGCCTAAATTTTATCGACGATCCTTTCCCGAACTTCAAGATGATCAATAGACGATGTATTCTGTTGTCTCGAATTGCTTGCGCTCGACGCGGTCGAGGACGATGAATAGGACTCATTTTCTCTACCTTTCACCAAAGTCCTCCGCTCAGTTTCTGTGCAGTCTCTGATCGAGTGCTGCTCTATGCTTGCGATATAGCTATGTAGGCGATCCTCCAACTTACCGAGGAAACTCATGCTTCCGGCTCAGCTGACCTCCGGGTGTCTATTCCCGAAGAAATATCGCAGAAAATATCCTTGAAAGTCCACAGTCACTAGAGGAAATAGTCGTGGAACTCGATCAGGATTCTGGCTCCGAGGATCCGGCCTTGCAACCAGAGACATTCAGCATCCGAAAGTTATCGAACGAATTCTGTTGATCTTGCAGAAAGCAAAGCGTCGGAGATTACAATGAGGGCTCCCGTGCGAAAGGGGAACGTCTCACATCAGAAATTTATAGATACGAGTTCGTGATCCAGCAGAACTTATTCGAAGACTTCGTCATTCTACGGGAACTCCTAAGACGTTCATGATCTTCCCCAACAGATTCATGTATTCGGCATCAGAGGGTATGCGTTCACCATTGAGAACCCTGACAGCGCAATAGTTTTCCAAACGGAGCATCCAATAGAATTGGTATCCGGTGACGGTATGATTCCCTGGGGAGATTCTCACGTTTCTGATCGCCTGAGCAGCTGAGCGGTCGTACGCATGCTTCTCGAAATCCTCCCACGGGCGTGCGAAGTCTTGGAGAGCGATGTTTTCAGTGATCACGAGAGCTTGCTCCATCACTTGGATGATCTGAGATTCACCAGCTGTCTCTAATATGTACGCGAACAGAGCCGTATCGAACGGAACTATCAGAGTCTTCTCGTTCCAAAGCGTTCTGGGACTGAGCCAGCCTCGATGGAACAAATCGTACATCTTCTCGAATAGCATGTTCAGCCGGACCCCGGAGGCGTAATTCGTGATATCGCGGCATTCGTTACATAACTGATCTAGTTGGAACATATGTGGTCTGCATACTATGCTCGAGCCCTCCATGAGCCGATTGCATATGTCATACGGAAGAAAGTATCCATTGATCACCTGCAGCGACTCTAGATCCTTCGCTGCGAGCGATTGCTCACATTTAATATCCATCGGGCTCTCGTCTGCCACGCCGTGCCGAGCGAAGAAAACATGATTTGACAGACAGACCAATCTCTCAAAGGCGTCTTTTCGCTTGGAGTGATGTAGCAAGACCGACGACATTTCCAAGGGTGGTCGTATGTTGCAGATTCGTCGCACAAGTTTCTCAGAAGTCCCCCCGGAAAATACAATCGGTATGGGTTCTGCATCTAGCATACCGACCCTTCGGAAAGTCAGGGTGACCAAGGTAAGTAATAGGACGAACCAACAAACCCAGAGAGTTTGTTTCTGCTTCCTTGTCAGCGGAGGATCCGAGAACTCCTCCGGCTTTGTCTCGAAAAACCGCCTGGTATGCAGTTCAGTCTTCACGGGCGCGGCGAGAACTTTCGCGATTCGACGAATCAAATTCGGTGGAGAGGGCCTCTGATTTGATTTCTCGGAAATGAGCTTCGAAATGGGCTGGCTGGTCTTCGAGACCCTCTTAGACGGGATGCCGTCGTCAAAAGCGCCGTGCTTGGCTGTGGCAATATTCACAGCGGGCTCTTTCAAGATGCTTTGGACGCCAGGACCTCCCAAGTCCGGGACCAGCCTCTCTGTCAACGCAGGCGGGAACTGTTGGTACTTCCCATCTGCGGGATTCATCTAGACCCTCGAGTAGCATCGAATCGTTGTTTCCCGCGTAGAGATCAGGGGCAGGAATCGGCTCAATCCCCATCTCCTCGAGTCCGAATTTTAGATGAGAAACTTGCAGGCTTGTGAAGATTTTGGAACATTGAGGAATGTAACCTTGAAATTGAGGAATGATACCTCTGAATATACCCGTCGAACTCTTTGGTGATACAGTCATACTGGGCTCAGGGCTCATGATGGTTTACGGGAATCAGCGTCGAGCGAATCAGCTGTATGAGAGACTATGTAGGAGCTCCACAGGAACGCGCTCCTGTGACCCAGACATCGAGCTTCAACATCGGTACCGGGCGTCGCGTTATAGCGTTGCACCGAGGAACGAGACAGCGTTGAGCGGGGTATCATCGTGAACAGCTCCATACCAATCCAGCCCTACCTTTCCCTGGAGGAAGCCCGAGGCAGACGCTTTCCTCGGAAAGAAGGAACGTCGCGTCGGCTTTGGAGTCTCCACTGGAGATACCCGAACGGAGGAAAGCACGCGCGACTCCAAGAGAGAGGATCTGAGGGAGCAGACGTTTTGAAGTTCATGATTCCCGTCAACAGGCGACGTTTTTATTCGACCCGGACTTCGACGAAAGAAAAAGTAAGATCCAAGCGTGACTATGTTTCCTTGAGCCATGTGGACACCGCGAGGCGACTTTCATCCTGCGTTCGAAATCCGGATCTCTGACGAGCCTGAGAGCGTTTTCGCAGCCTAGTTCTCTCGAAGTTGAGCACTGCGATTGTAGAACTCGATGTCCGCGGAATCTTACCTGCAGATTGAGCGATTTGCCCTCGTTGACCACCCGACTGCTCTTGCGGGCTCAGGAGCGTGGGATCTCCAACCTCCCGTATTCGCATCGGAACTTACGCAAACAAGTCACCAATCTTAGTTAGTTCAAATCCAAAAACCCGTGGAATCTAAAATTTTGAGGAGGGATTTCGAGAGGATCTCCTCCCGGCAGTCTAAGAGTACATGGAATCGTATGAATGTGGGGAAAAAAGCTCGAGATTGCAATGGATCAGAAATTTATTCATCTATCCTACAGGAACTCGGATCAGGAGCCTTGTGTCCAGGTGCCTCTTGCTCTCAACCGCCTTCAAATAAACACTCACATTCATCCTCCCACTCTTCTGAAACGATCCCGTGACACGAGGTGATCGTTAGGTTGACGCGATACAAAAATTACATTTTTGATTTCATCAGAGTATGACTCAGTTTCAGTTGCGGAACTTGCTCCATCGTTGTATTCTGCTAATTTCTGCCTCAACATCGATTTCAATCGATGACCCTTGTTCTGCGACTTTTTCGTTCCTCTAGCAAATAGCCCGCCAGCATTCCGGGAGGCTAACTTGTACCCTCCATGAGGCTCCTTACTTCAGTGCATTTTCCCTCGTCGGAATCGTCGACAAGGTAAATCATCATTTTCGAAGGATGGAGGGGGGAGAGGATCCTTGATTGCGAAGAGGGCTCTTTGTCGGGGAGCCGTTCTGTTCCGAAGATATCGGGGCGGCATCGGTAGCAGTAAGCAATTCGAGGCCGGCCTCCTATGAGACTTCCAGCATCTAGTAGTAGGACATGCCATCTCTGACGATGGCTCTCTTGGTCCACTTCTTTCGGACGCAGCGACTCCCGTCCCAGGACAATCGTGCACATCCTCGAACCTTTTTGAAGACGAAACACTGTTTCGATAGCAGATCGAAGAACATGCGACCGACGAATCGGCTTTGTGAAGTTCTCGCCATCTTCAGACACGACCGGAATCTGCAATAGCCCGATTGATTATGAATTCGATCAAATCTTTTTGGCGCCTAAGGTATGTCATAGGTTTTCGGTACAATTAACGAACTGCGAGTACAACGCGTACAATTAACGAACTGCGAGTACAACGCGTGAGTCTGGGAGGGGGCGAAAGCTCGCGTCTACCGATTTTTTCGGGATTTTTTAATTCCGGACGACATCAGGAGATTGCGTTGCTTCGTTGATCGATTCTGAGCCCTCGAGCATCATAAGACGGAGCTTATCGGAGCGATTGGAATATAAGAAATTTATTCCATCCCTGATTTTTTTTCCGAACTCCTCGAGGAGGGGATGACTTAATTTGTCATGTGTCTCGCGGCAGATACCAGGTTCTGCACCCCGGAAACTATCGAAATTCGCACTTCGGAATGTCTTCGATCGGAAACATCCGCGAGACGCCCACAAGGGTAAAGTTTTCTCTGGGAAACCTCCGCACTTCCAAGCGCCCTGGCAACGACTGTAAAGAACTCCCTAATATGAGAGCGGTTGGCTTGCCTGCATCGCCATCGTTCGCGATTCGTCTGTTGTCCTGATCGATCCCGATACCCCCGCCGAGACGCTGAAATGCATTCCGCCCCTCGGACGAGAAGCAAGGAGCCAATCTCGACTTGATTATAGTTCCCCGACTCACAACAAGCTCATTCTTCGCCGATTACCGTATAGCGTAAACCCTCAAACCTAGGGTCCACGCGCTCTGCACTGTGTGCCTTGAGAGGGAGCGCGGGAATATGTAGGTAAGTGATTGCCTCGCTTCAACCCCGGGCTCTCGGGCAGTCTTTCGGGGAGCTTCGTTCGCGGTGAAATCCATCGGGATAGACAGATAATCTCCTCGTTTTGTTTGGAACGTTCACGACGCAGGGAGAATCGAGGTTGCGGTTTCTTCTTCGAACTTTGCGAGTATGTTTCGACAGGCAGGCGTCGAGCTAGCGGACTCTATCAACCAGTCCGAACTATGAGTGTGCTCGTAATGTTCTTGTTTCAAATTTATGCACCCTGCCACACCCCGAAAATTGCCAGTGAGAAGCGCGAAGAAGAAAAGAACATATTCTGAGCGTACGAAGGTTGTCTTCTTCAACATAAATATGGAACACCAAATGTCACCTCCAGTAGGCAACGGATAAATAAATCCTCCCCTTAAGTGAATCTGCCGGCTTCGATCTCCGCTTCATCGGTAATGTCATCCACAGAAAGCCAATGAGAGCTCCGTTGTAAAAGTCCAGCTGCGAGAAAGCCTGCAAACTCCTTCCTGTTGGCTCAGTCAGTCGACCGGGGGCTGGTCCCGTGCTACGCTTTTCTAGATGATGATCCGCACCATCGTATCATCGGTGGCACGCTCAGCAAACTTCAGCAGGCAGATTTCATTCCTTGCGCCCGATAGAGAAGATGCTGCGTCTGCGCTTCCCCTGACTCCCACCGAGATTCATACCGGACCTGAACAGAAACGTCACCCTGACATGAGTTCGGCTGCGTCGCGGTCTCGACTGTGACTGCGTGTGTTCCGGGAATTGCTCGGAGGCACGACTACACCGACGATACGTTGTGGAACACCATGAAAGTGACTCTCTAGCGTGACGAGCATTGTCGCTCGGACAATTCCACGACACAGGGACTAATGCATCAGAGCTCTGATCGTGAGTCCGGCGACGGATTGACGTCTCATTCTCGCATTAAGCAAGAGGTCGGAGCCACGACCCACGAGATAGTGATGGCTCGGAGGAAAATGCTCGCATCGGATTCTGCCGAGCTCGAATTTGGCATATTTCGTCTGACGATGTCCGAGCAGCAAAAAGGACTCCGTCCGTGATGTGGCGCTGAGCATCCCGAGATATGATTTCTTGGCGCAGTCGATAGCTGCCGAATTACCAGCATCCTAACCCCTCATTCTGACAGAGGAAACAATGAGCATTCGATTGTGACTTAGTGCCTACGAACGAAGTAACGAGTCGATATCTGTCACGTGACTCCTAGCAAATCGTCGCACAATGAAGTATAGTACGCAGGCACTAGAACGAGGATCTCGGTGACACCGTGGCGTTATCTCCTGTCAGTCCCCCCGAGTCCATCAGATCAATCAATGAATGCGACCCGAGATATGGTCGCTTGCGCATTGGTCGGAATGAATTCCCCTCACTCGCTTCCCGGTCATTCTCTCCCGCTCTCTCCCTCTTCCGCTCCCAGGCTTGTTTGAATGTTGACCTAGATGATGCGGCGGGAAATCTGAGCTTGTTTGTCGATCATCTTGTCACAACGTTACAAATTCACCCCGACTAACCTTTCGTCGCATCTGCAGTGTGACAACGTGAAGAAACTCCTATTGCGTAACCCCCAACGCTTCTGGAAGCTGACCAATGTATAGGGGCACTGATCGTGTTCTCGACAGCAATCGTCGGTTTTTGCCGAAGCTCCCAACTCGTTGAAGGACTTCGCGTGATTGCCCGACCCGCACCATTTTGTACCGGGCAGTATCGATGAGAAAATCGAGCTGAAAAATTTTCGCGCGATGCTCCGAAATTCTGCTTACTCGAGTTAGAATCAATCCAGCGAGGAGAAACGAATTCCACTGACCGTTTCGATCGTCGAGACCGCGAACTTCGCTCGGACGCGACTTCGTAGCCGACGCCTTCATCTGAGGTATCCGAAGTCCTGCTGGAATCATAATTATTCTCCTTCCGGAGCGCGTCCCGCCGCATTGCTCTCTGCAGGGAGCGACATTCCCTTCTCCGCACCTGTGAGGATATTCATGAACTGAATGAGAAATCTCTCCATGACGATCTGCCATTGAACGAAGCCGATGATCAGCGTGAATTTCAACACTCACTCGAAACTGGAGGAATTTCCGAATTTCCCGCATCAGCTCTCTCTGTTCGGCACTGTTCACGAGCAGAGCGAAGGTCTCGTTCCAAATTTGTCTACCAACAGGATCTTCAATCGAGCACCAAAATGGCTCTCTAGCGGCATCCGACTGTTTAACTTCATTAGTTTCGTCGAAGTCGACATCCGAAGACTCATTCTCTCCATCTGGGTCGGTGGACGATGATTCGTCGGACGTATCTCTCGGGTCCATCTCCTCCACCTGGCGTCTCGACTCCTTATAACTAGTGAACTTTGATGTGTTGCTCTGGTGTGCAAGGGAATCGATCCGTTCTGATCCTGCCGCAGATTCCGCTTTCTTCTGCTCCGCACAGTTGAAGTCGTCCGTGAGACTTCTGTAGAAATCAGCTATCTCGACCGGGTCCGTTTCAAGTCGGCACGAAACCAGATGCTCGTTGAGGAAAAACGAGCTCACCAGGACTTTTCCGTTGCTGAGCCGCAGCGAGCTGGTCCCGCGTTCCGGTAATGCATTGTGGACCGCAGTCAGACCCCTATGGTGGGCTCGGACCTCGGTCTCCCCGCCGCTGAAGAAGAGCCGATGATAGAAGCCGGGAATGTCGATAGACCTGGAAGGAGCCCGAGTGGAATCTCGAAGTTCAAGGTGCCGATGGCCGATTGGCATCGGGATTCAAATATAAATGATTCCGGGAAAACGGGAATCTGAGCTCCGATTGCTTGGACCACGGACCACCACCCATAGCTCGACATTCTTCGTCCGACTGGGCTGATGGTTCGAGACGCCGACGCTACTCTTTTTTCTATTAAAGCTCATGCCTGCATCCGCTCTGTCATCTCTGATAACTATTTGTCTCCACAGTCGACGATTCGAAGGGAAATGAAGGATTGCGTTTTCGCTGCTGCTTGTAACCTTATCCTAGTTGCATTGGAAAACATGTCATGAAACATGAGACGGCACTTAACGGCTGCGTGAGCCGCTTGCGTTATGATCTACAGAAAGGCAACAATTTGCATGGCTGCCTCTTCGCCTCGAGCGTATTGGAAAGCTCGCAGGAGAAAATCCTCTCTGAGATGGCTGTCGCACGCCTGGGCATCACGCCGCGGCGTCGAGTCCCCTTGGTCCAATTTGGAAAATTGACACAAAAGCTTGCCACGGGCGTTCGTTGTGTCCCATTATGGTTGCAACCAGAGGATCAGGGTCGAGCGAGGAGTGATTCCGAAAATTCTGCGGCGGAGGAAGTCGACTGCCTGTAGACATATCAGGAAAAAACACTGGAGCGTTCCATTCATTTTCGCCCATTTTCATATCGAGACCTTGACCATGGAATATAAGCTTTGCGGCTCACTCTTCACCATCAGTTAACGATCGGATGATTAGTATCTCAGCTGATTGGTTTTCGTTCAAAGAGCGGTGATACTAGAAACTCATGAGGATCACTCGCGAGAATATTGATAATGATACGCCATAGGATCAAAGCTGTACCGACGGACCGTCTGTGCAGCCCGCGGATTCCATGAAATTCCGATTCGCTCCTCAAGGAGACACCAAAGCCGTACCGTCTCACCGATCTCTGACTTGAAGACGAGCCTCTTTTTCCCCCTCCGGATGTCGATGCACATATGAATCCAAAGGCTTTACTCCTTTCCGAACAGTTGGCTATGGTTTACCCGAGTACGTGATAGGTATTCGACTTGCTTAGACGGCAGCGCGAAAGGAAGTCGCTGTAGGAGGGCTACACAATCGTTCCAGCAAATTGATACCGAATAGAGCACTGAGACGGCATATCATCATGCTGCATCCATTTGTATTCAGAGAAAAATCGTAACACGGTTCTTCCACTCCGGGAAGCCATTGCTGGCGCAGTGTCATCAGTTTCGTCATGCGTGCGACCACTCCAAATGCTGTTTCGACGATTGCCGGCGCCAGCTACTTACCAATGCGGAGTCTCGGAATCCTCAGATTCACTTGCGAATGCGCCAAGTTCGAGAGAGCACAGGAGAACGATTATCGCGGTCAACTTGGAATTCAACGCGAGTGTTCGCTTGATCGTGGTCGAGCCCGCCATTCTGGGAAGCATGCAAGCTGTCGTCTCTTCACACCATGACAGAAGTCTTCGCACAGGGGAGTGTGCGTCCCGAAAGACCCGAACAGTTAGCGCGCGCACCCGTAGCACTTGTCAACGGACAACATTTCGAACATGGCGCAAGCCTCAGTCAAGAGGGCCGGCTCCGGTCGGCAAGATCCGGAGAGCTCAGAATCGAGTCTGCGACACAGGGCACCGGTGCGCCGAAGAACTCGGGCAGAGGCTCCACAGGGTCGATGGCGCACTCGTCGAACGAATGAACGAACTAAATCGTTCATCTCTCCGGAAATCAACCGGCTCTCACTGCTAGGAAACACGTCGCTGTTTGTGGTTCGGAGAGGCGGAGCCTGAGGAAAGGAGGAGTTTTCTTGTCCGCTGACTCATCCTTGCAAGGAGCTCTGTGTAGTATTCTTCCTGTCTACGGCTGCCGGTGAGGGGTAGGCGAACGAGGCAAAGAAAAGAGAAGGCTGGGAAGAGAGTGAGACGCGCTGCACGTGAGCGAGAGTCCATCGTAATATCGATAAGCAACCAACCAGTCGACCAACCGAAAGGTTAGGAGCGACCCGACGAGTTTATGGTCGCTAGCTGTTCACAATCCTATTGATGATCGCATTGATTGAGTCTGACACGAGTCAAAGAATGCAAGTCAAGTATAGGGCTCTAAACTTCTCACTTCATGTAGGAGCTCGGAGTCTCCGTGGAACCGACCGATGAAAGCGAAATACACCAGCACGCATGCGTCTGCTTTACAAAACCTCGATGACGTAAAATGCAGTGAATGATTGCCGAAAAATTTTCGGGCACACGGAAGGTTCAAATTGAAAGCGATGCGATTTTCCCAGGAAAGCTTCAGGATCGAACCGAGGCGAACTTATCGAGCGGACTGGAAGCTGGAAGACTTCGAAACCAAACCCGTGCAGCTCACACAGTCGGACCTCCACGGAAACTCACGGCTTTCGGAGGCGCTGCTGGTGGAGGTGGAAGACTCACTCGTTCCTTGTTCTCGCGACAAAGCTCTTAAAACGCCGGTGACGTTTGAGCTGGCCGCTCTCTTCAACCATCCATCCCTCCCGAGCGAGCACGCAAGCAAGCGAGCAAGCCACCGACCGCGCGGGGGAGCGAGAAACCGAAAACGAACAACAAGCTTCTTCGGGACGACAGCTGGCTTCGACATCAAAATGTCGTCAGTACAATCGAATCGGATCTGCGAAACAGAGCCCGTAGCTATGAACACCTCGACTTCTCGACGAACAGGGCGCCGGATACGACAGACGATAAAGGGATGCTTCCTCGGTGAAGTCCGTACAAATGTGAAATCTACTGTTACCACCTTCACGCCGATCAAGAGTCAAATCCCATGAAGGCGAAAGACCGAGGTCCTTCCGAAGCTCTGGAATCTCATTCCAGATGGATGCAGTGATGCGGCATCGTGTTCCTGGATATCCCTTCCGAGGATACCTCGTCTACGGGGTCACAATCCAAGTCAAGCCTTCTCGGCCGGCCGAGCAAGTTTGCCTCTGGACGGAACGACCTTCTCCCTCAGCCGTGATTTTTCCCTCCTGGGCTGCCTTTCCAACATCGTCGCCAATGCTCAGCAGCAGAGGCGGATTCACCCAGTAGGCCTGCTAGGCTATCGACTGAGACAGCAAATTATAGGGGGCGGCGAATGTCCGAAGGGACTGCCGTGATTCCCGAAGTGCGGGGAATCACGTATAAAATCATAAGGACCGAGTCGAATTTTTGAGCTGCATACTCCGCGGGTGGGCGGAAATGCTTCATTGGAAGCCCTTTCGAGAACCCTCCTTGGGGAGTTCCGATGCCCTCGTCGAATGGTAGAGCTGCGACATGGAATCTCGATCAAATCCAGTCAGATGAGACTTCGCGTGTAAAATCAGAGATTTCCAAGCTTCTCCCGCAAATTACTCTCCGGACACTTCAGAAGGATTCCTGTATCCCGGGAGCGCGGAAAATAGATTGGAATATCTATGGTTTGTCAACAACAAGGATCACGTGCTCAACTCGATTTTCGGTGCATTCGCTATGGTAGACCAGTCGGGGATGGTGATCCTAGATATGTATGTACTAGATGCTTATGGCAGTCATTGATCTAGACGAATCACGTCGACTGCGATCTCTCAGCATTTAGGAGTGCATTGCAAGATCCATCGCTCTAGATTCGCCAATTGCTGACCTGCATCGCATCGACGGTTGGAGCAGATTCTCGGAGGATTCAAGTAGGGCCGTGGGAGCGAATTACAGTGACAGCGTCGGCGCCGTGATTTTCCGGAGCTGAGGCCGAGTAGCCTGCTCGCCGATTCATCGGCCCGCGGTGCACTCCACCAAAGTTCAATTCATCGGATCCTTGGACTAGTGGGATAGGCCGGAGAGAGACGTCGACTTCCGACTCTCACCGACAAGAGGCGAAGGATTGTCGACACCGCGCCGACACCGTCGAGAGGAGCGCAGTCGTCATGCTCCTCAGATTGGAGAACAATCAATTACAAGCTTTTTTCAGTAGGGCTCCAGGAGCTGGTGATAAGGACGAGACCTCTGTGGAACCACCAGAGGAAAACTAGAGCAAACCCGGAGGCAAGCAGTGAGTGTATCTGTTAGTTCGGCAACAAACATACACGCGAGCGCAGACGAATCCTCTTAGAGTCGTTTCTCATCGTGCACTCTCGTGTATCAGATGTGTTCCAATCAGCATGACGCGCGTCGTAAGCTTGTTCTCCATTATTTAGCTATACCTCGAGTCTGGTTGCTCTTTTTTACCGGAAATCAGTAGGGGATGCCTCGCTCCTCAGCTAATTCGCTCGCCGGCATCGCTCGACCGAACTCGCGATATAGAAAGATGTCCTCAGAGACCGTGAGAACAGATGGTCGCAGCATATTCAAATTATGCGCAATTCCGGGAACCCGTGGCTCCTCGAATAACTATTTTGGAATTAAGATCTCAAAATGCTATTACCGAGATATCCTCGCGTCACTTTGATCTATCCGAAATCCATGACGTGGGAATTGAGTGAGCGCCAGCACACTTCCGGGAACCGACATTTCGCGGGAGTGAACTTCTTCAGGAAATTCCTCTTGCCGTGTGATCCTCGAGGGGATCGTAGAGAAGGCCTGATTCCCGACGTCGACTCCCGCTCCACCCTCACCGAAAAAAGTATCCTGTCCGAACAATAATCCTAATCCTCGATGCTGAACGAGAAGCCAGATCAGGATATCGCTGGCTAACAGAACACATTCCTCTCCACAAAGAAAGTGAAACGGCCCCTTCGAGATACAGCGACCCGCGATCTCAGGAATCTCCGAGAATGGTCTCATTCGCTCGAACCCTCCCAGTCACCTCACGGGGGCACTTGTGGTGGTCACACGCCCCTATGAAAATATTCGCAGATTCCCCCGGAAGAGCACAGCTGCTAAATATCCCTATTCCGCTCACGATCTGACAAGCATGTTCACACGGATGAAGGAACGAGTGGGTAATAATTTCAGAAGTCCGATCGTTCGAGCTCTATCCACATCCGGAATCAGCACATCGCAACTCGAACGAACATTCAATATGTCGCGAAGATCACATGCGGGAGATGCTCTTTATCAGCTGTTATTTCTCGATTGGAATTTTCTTCCTGATGATTTTCGAGCATTCGTTCGTATTCATTCTATGCTAGTGCGATAGAGCTCACTGGTCGAGTGTACCTAAATCTGCGCCATGAGCAAAGGTTTCCTCGCCAGGGAGCACGCGCGTGCTCCTCGATTCAAGGTTCCTGCCCCATCGAGTGTGGATGAACGCATCCGGAGATTGGAACTGAGTGAAAGTAAGATTTTGATTCCAGGATCCGTTCATCCTGAGACGCATCATTCGCGCACGACTTTTATCGGGACCGCACTCTGGCAGAGGGCACTGATTCCAATATATCTGGCGACGATTTCAGATGAAGCGTCAAGCGCGGATCAAACTGGTTGGTATTCTGCAGTCTGAGGACCTCAGAGAAATACTGATTCGGGAGAGACTTTTCGATGATGCTTGAGGCGAATAGCTCGATGATGGGCTCTTGCATCGAACCGACGATCCTTTTCGATAATTCATCAAGATCGAGGCTTCCAGAGAGATCGCCAGAGAACATAGCCTTCTTCCATCACGAGTCTCGCGGGCCTGCTTTCGAGGCGATACCAGAACGACAGGCTCCATGGGATATCGACGGTGAGTGGAGTTGTTGTGAGTACTCGTGTCGCCTTCGATCGCGACGGAAGATCCCCCCTGTATGATAAATGCTTCCTTCCAGATGCCTTAGCCGATTTCCAGGATCTCTCAGTGGATGGGATCCGGGGGAAGCGACGTCGATTGTCCCCGAGTGAGTGAGTTTTACGACGGATATATCTCATATCTCGGAGCTTGGGATTCTCTTCCGTTCGGAATGTTTAGTATGAGGAAGGTCGGTGGAGAAATGCGGATCGCTTCGCGTCACTATCGAATTCTTTCAGCGGGCTTGGCCCGTCCAAATTCATCCGCGTCCGGAGGACTCAAGCTCCCAGAAGATTATCCTAGTTTCGAAGACGGGCCTCGTCCTACAGAGGAACATTACCCGGAACGAGTTAAGTGTTCAATGCCTCGTTTCTTTTTGACGTGAAGCGTCTTTAATTTGGACTTGGGGGGCGCGTTCAATGTACTTCGTCCTTCATGTAACGATTTAACACCGTTATTGAGAGGCTAGAACTTTCTTAATTGTGCACAGAATTTTTTTCTTCCCATGAACCTCCCTTTAGGCCACGTCGAGCCGAGAGAGGGCATCTTGATGCTCAACATTGTGCGTTTGCAGCCGACTATAATCGCGCAGAAGAAGAAGCGTCCGAGGAACAAGCTGCGTCAGGCCAGGCTCGACAAGTTTCTGCCCACCCGAAGAGCCCGAGTCTCGAAGGGATCCAATTCCGAGAAGGATAAATCAGAAGTTGTATCTCGAGAATCACCTGCATTCCCGGGACTATTCACGGGCCACGCTCCGCAGGATACCATATCTCCTACTGTTGATTGCGCCAGTTCGATGCCACCAAGATCGCCTCTCCAACCCAATTTCGTTGTGAAAATCAAGCTGGAACCTGCCGAAGAGAGGCTGCTGATCCGTTTCAAGTACATGTTCGAGGCCGCTGCCGAGAGATTGAGCCACGTTCCGCCTTTGCCCCTGGGACTCCAACCTTTCCAGGCTTCGATGCTGGAAGTCCAATTGGATTCGACGACCTCCAGCACCGAACACCAGATTCTACAGCAAGTCTTATACGCGGGGCAGAAAACCGAATGTGTCCTGACAGGAAGACCCGAGAGACCCTCTCGAGACCTCCCAGAATGGGCAAGAGTGCCAGCTTCATTGCCGGGAACTTTCATGTTGAAACTCTCGGAATTCCTCAAGCTCAGGAGGGTCGTCCTTGTGGTACCAGGGGCCTCATTGAGTGATCTTTGTCGATTGTCGGAGAGATTGCGATCCATGGACATATCCACCAAATATACTTTGGAGAGAATTCCATGTGAAAAGGTGAAGGATCTCGGAACTTGGTTAGTTGGAAACGAACGATGTCTCGAAAGTCTCCCGAGAGATTGCTTCGATGGAGTCATACTGCCACGCGGATCCCCTCCGTGGCCCGGATTGCCCTGTGGAACTCTGGAAATCGATATAGATCCAGACTTTTCCGATCTAGTCCCCGTGAGGACGGCTTTCGTCGACTGCCGTCTGGAAGAATTAATGAAGAGGTGAGCGGATGATGGACTTTCTTCGGAAATGACCCTTCCGGAACTTAAGATTTGTGCCCCGACTCCGCTCAGGAGACTTCGCTGCGACGAAAGCTCCCGCAGCGAGCTGGCTGTGCCGTTGAGAGTATTGGTCTTCTCGAATCGATTTCAGGTTGGGGCAAATGAATAAGATGCAAGCGGAAACCAAGCCACTGGATCGGTACGGGGTTGACGCGTGCTCCGGGGAGATAGGTTTCATCATAAATCACGAAAAACTACTCAAGTCCACGAGTAAAGCTGTCAAGGTCCGACTGGTCCAACGAATACTCCGGGCAGCCACTCTTTTCCGTCACTTGATCATCGTGCAGATTGCAAATCGGCCGACGGAGTACCTGAAGGGGATCATTGAATTCATAACGTCGACGAGCGTTCATACAGAGTGTCAGATCCAGGTACAGTGGGGCCAATCCTGGGCAGGGGGCAGTTCAGGTTCGCGGTGTACTCCGAGCGATTCCTGACTCTTTCAGATGGTCGACTCATGTCATGTTCCGATAGAGAAGACGATTCAAGGGATCTGTGCCGCGAAAGGCGATGACTTGTCAGACTTTGCTTTCCTCACCATGAGGAATAGCGCGGTGAGTCTCCGCTGTTCGAAAGAGAGCCGTCGTCAATATCAGTCGAGATCTCGGAACCTATCTCAAGCAGAATTAATCCTAAATCTCCTCCTGTCGTCCATCGGCAGCTAGCGAATATCATCGACGAAGGAAACCCAGACCGGACCCCGCACGGAACTTTAGTGACGGCTCTCCTGTGAAAAGATCTCTTCGGTGGGGTCATTCTGAATTTTGTGTTGATTTTCTGACCTCAAACGCTTTCGAACTCCCAATCTCATTTGAGATTTGGTCGCTGTACATTACTATCTAATTCGAGCGAGCCGGAGCACTCAGCAGCCTCCGTGATTTTACTAAAATTTCTGTCCCCCCTAATGTCGAGTTTTATCATCTGGAGATTCCCTATGATTCAATGCTCCCTGCCACGATGTGCTAGAGACCGGGATCATGGTTTTGAGCGAGTTTGCAGGGAGCGCTATAGCATTATATGCTTGAACATGAAATTGATGATCGATGATCACCAACACATGCCTCCGTCACGGATGCGGAACTCGTTGCTATCTCACTCAGTCAGGGGTATCGGGGGAGTAGAGGTACTCCGCCATCCGGAAGTCGGGGTCGACGGCTCCCAACGAAGGATTTCCCATTCTCCCACCAGTCCACGCAGACATTCGATCACTCTCCCAGTGGTGACGTCTGTCAACCGCGCCAACTTACCATGCGCGCATCCGCGAATTTTAGCCTCGGAGGATATCCGAGGCGAAGACCGCCGCTCGATAAAGGGGAGTTAGCCCGACTCTTGTGAGACGCATCCGGGTAGAAGATCCTTCCATTGACATTTCTCGATGCTCAATTCGGAGGAAGTATGTAGATTCGATTCGATCGGGGATATAGCCACGGAACAGTCAACATATTTCAGATCAATTTCTCTCTCGGATGAGAGATCACGATATAATCTTCCCAGAGTTCACGCCCGCCCCCGCGCTGGGCGCTCCCTCACCCCGGACAGTCCATGGAGAAGTTGACACGTTAGTGAGGTGCCCGATTCCGGCCGAATATGAACAGGTGGAATATCGCCCCGGACGAACAGCCGCGCGATTTGAATCTAAAGACGATTATGAGAGTCAGGGGGAGAAGATAGTGTCGTAACCCGCGGAAACCGCTTAAGCGTCGGAAACTGGAACGAGTGATACCAGCTGGGTCTGCTCCTTCGTTCGGCCAATGCTTATCAAGCCGAAAAAAGCGGAGGAATGTGAAGCATTTCCACCAAGAGTCCAGTGATAAATCTATTTTCTCATTTCTGTGGAGTTTCAGTGATTGTCACTCGAAACGGAGAGGTGAGTTCTTGAAGGTTCCGCATACCCCTTTGCAAAGGCACAGCTGAGCTCGTGAAAAAAGGTTCAACTTCTCGGAAACACATCGCACAGTGGGAGAGACAGCCCATTCTAGAGGTTGACCTGCCGACCGTCGATGAGCGGATTTCGATATGCCCAAGTGGATGATATGGGTGGTCCTGATACTGGAAGACAATATCCGAGATACGTCCGGTTCCGTACTCGGCTTTTTTCGCGCTGCACTAGGCCAGGTTGGAACGTCCATCGAACGGAAAGCACTGAAATGGCGTCACGCTGAATTTTTGCGGAATCAGACTCCACGCGAGAAGGAACTTTCATGGGCTGACGGCTGGGAGCCCACCGCGAACGTGATCCGAGAGACAACAGAATCGCAAAAGACTAACCGCTCCGATTATCCTTGCAGATTCTCAGGCGCAATGAGTCTAAGAGAGTGCCGAGACCTGAGGTGAATATGATACCCACCTACCTTGGATTTAGAGTCGCAGCCTCTGCTTCACGACATAATAGGAACGCGCTGATAATATGAACTGAACATTGCAGAATACGTGTCATCACGTACAACGTGGCCTCGACATACCCGATAGAAGATCTGCGGGAGCTCCTTGGAGTAAAACCACCGTTTGAATTGGAGAATCTCCCCAATATCTACGCGATCGGGTGAGTTTCTGGCTATACATATGTACCATAGGTACCTATATTAATATTATCACGTCGCGTTCCGGATAATATGGTCCGTCGAGCCGAGGGGAAAGATATTGATGTCCTTGTATCAGGTTGCAGGAGGTCAGCGTGAAACCTGCGAATTTGGTCAATCAGACTATTTTCGAAGAACCCTGGATCACCTGCTTGCGCTCAGAGCTCAAATCCCTAGGGTATATCAAGCTCATAAGCTACAAACTGCAGGTTCGTCCTCATCAAAGAGCTCTGAATCTCAGATAATTTTATGATCTGCATCATCATGATGTAACGACTGCCGCTTGTCTCATATGTTAGACCAGGTCCTCTGTGCTTCCAGGGATTGGTCCTCATAATTTTCGTGAGGCGAGCCGAGCTCTTTCACTATCGAGATATCACTCCGTCCTACGTGCGAACGGGGCTTGGCGGAATGTGGGGCAACAAGGGAGCGACTGTGGTGTCATTGAAAGCCTTCGGGAACTCGATTTGTTTCGTGAACTCGCATCTGGCGGCTCATGATCACGGTTATTACAAGAGGGTCCAGGTATGGGGTAGTAGGCAATGCTTCGATTAATTAATTGAATATCAAATTAATTCAATACTCGATTAAATATCTCCGATGACGATCGTCCCATCCTCTCCTGCAGGAGTACACGGACGTCTTGAGATCGCAAACTTTCGAGGGTGAAGCGTGCAATATAATCGCTCACGACTACTCGTTCTGGTTTGGAGACTTGAATTTCCGGTTGAACGACGTGACCTTAGAGCAGCTAAAGAACGCCATACAGGATGACACGATTATGGCGATGTTCAAACATGACCAGGTGGGTAGGAATGCATCTCGATTTCATTAGGCTGAAACCTGATCTCTATCTATCATCATGGGTATTCCTATGCCCATGCTCAGATGAATAAATAATCAACGGTTCCTGGCATTTCATGCTTCTTCTCACAGCTCACGCGGGCTCAACGCGCCGGGGAAGCATTCGAAGAGTTCCAGGAGGAGGAAATCACATTCAGACCCACGTTCAAGTTCCAGCAGGATACGGCGTATTATAAACTAACGTGAGCGAGAGCTTTTTCTCGGAATCGATGAGCCGGATAGGATCTGAATCCGAGTCGAGCAATCATTGACAACGCTCTCTTCACAGCTCCCGGAAACCCGCGTGGACGGATAGGATCCTCTACCGCTGTACAGAAGAGGCTTATAAGTCCTGCAGACTAAGTTTGAAAGTAGACGACTATCGGTCTCACGAGTCGTATCTACACAGTGATCACAAACCGGTATCAGCGATTTTTACCATCAAAGTTTTCGACGCGGGGCTACCCAAGGATAAGATTTATTTCTACGATCTGGAGGACTGGTCTGTAAATACGGGTTTTGGAACGTGGTGAGTTTTTTGCCCGAAAAGGACTGCGACTCGATGAGTGATGAGTCCCGAGGAACTGTGTCGACCATGGACCCTTGTTAGTTTTCCGACTTCCCTCTACTCCAGGTTCTGTTGTGATGATTCTGAGACGCCTCAGAGAAGCGATTGGATCGGCCTCTTCCAAGCAGACTTCACGTCGATTGACCAATATGTAGGCTACATATGGGTTGAGACACAGCCCGCGGACAGACCACCGATGGATGGAGACGTACGTTCAGACTGTACCATTCGTCGTCCTATGCCGGTCGGGCGCTGCGAGATTGAAAGGGCTTTATACATGTGTTCTGCCCAATATTTGCAGCACGAGATTTCTCATGTTTTTCGCTCTTCCACTTCTCAGGAAACAGATTTCCCGGTCAATCGACGGACCTATTACCAATCTTTCTGCGACCAAATGTTCGTTCCACCGGGAGACTACGTATTGATCTATTTTCGCGGCACCTGTGATGTTCTAGGAATCAGTCAATCTTTCAAGGTAAAGTGGCCTCCTAGTCACCTGCGCCTCGACCCTTTTTACTATAGAGTCTCCTCTTGAGTTTCCAGCCATGGTACCCGTGTCTTCTTTTAAGAAACGAGTGAAGTGGGGCTTCTGATTACGTAGAGTTCGGCTCCTTCAGCGTGCGCCGATGGAATCGGACATCGAAAAGTTTTAGGATATTATCGGGGGGGGCCACGTGATCTAGACCTCGACGGGGCCTGTCGGGAGCGCGTGGCATCTTTTTCTATGTAATCGCCAGGGCTCTGTCCCCCTCCGCGGAGCCTGGGGCATTGTATGGCGAAGTTGGAGAACGAGACCTGGGCATGGTCCTTAAAAAAAGTCCAAATCTCTTGGCACGTATCTGATCTCACAGTGCAGCTCCCCATTAGCATTCGAATTGTCGTCTTGATCGGGGGTGATGATTGATGGCTCATTACTTTGATAGAATCAGAACGAATGTCGTGTGTTTCTGCTGGGGAACGAATGATAAAGACAATTTTTTAACGAGTCGAGCTGTTTTCGATCCATCCGTTCTCCTTGCGAGAGGGCGTCATACGGTGATATATGAAGATTCCTCACGGTCCAATCGAGAAATGATGACATTCGTTTCAGATCGTGGACTCCGTGGGGTCCTAGAGAATGGAAATGGCAGACTCACCCGACAGCTGAATCGTTGCATATCACTGACGTTGCTAGTTCGTATCTTGCTGAGACGCGAAGCGTCCCCATCAAGTTTACGCGTTCGTTATTGTTGACGTCGTTGTAAGTTTTGTACACCTCCTGATTGTTCACAGAACACTGCTCATAAGTTTTCGGCTCAGTATTGGTCACGTGACAATGTCGTCTCTTGGAAATGACGGATCTGCAGAGCGTCGAAACGGCAGACTCGCTCATTTTAGCATTTTCTCACGGAAGGACAATTTATAGAGTCTATTTTCTTAATAATAAAGAAATCAATATTGGGAAGCTCTTCGAGCAGTGCACTTATTCAGACCGAGAAGTTTAGAGTTCTCGAGGGAATGGTCTTCATCGAATGATCCTCCGCCTTCCTATAATATAGTCCCTACCCCATCCACGAACCCCTTGGCCATCACACATGATCTCGGAGCGATGAGTCCGAGACTTTCTCCCGGAGTCAGGTTCTCGAGATTCATCATATATCCGAAAAAAAACTCGAGGAGGAATGAGGTCGAGGTCATGATCGTTGATCACCGACGAACATGTGCATGAATCAATTTCTAGCCTCACGCGATGCTACGCTGACGATTCGAAGCTCCATTGTGCAGGGCGACGCAGCTACGGAACGTATCCCGCTCCCGGGATTCCCGTGAGACTCACCTGACAGTGCCACCGGCCGCCTGGAAGTTCCCGGGGGATGATTAGAGAATAAAGATGGAAGTCCGCTGGAGGGACTGAAGAGTGGAGAGTTCAGACGAATGAGTTCGAAAAGTTAAATCTCAATCTCAATGCGTTTATTTACGTGAACGATGCCTAGGAATAGCATTCGACTAAGTTACATCAACGAATCAGCTAAATCGCAAACGACGGCTCCCTTCGGAGTTGGAGCTCTTTACTCGAGCGAGTGGTGCACTCCATTCGGGTTACAATCAATAATAGATTTCAGTACAATAATATGAATATAATCTTGTCAATGATTCTGTGTAATATCCGTCAGTCACCAAGTCTCTAATTATAATTACCAGCGCCAACCAACGTGACACGCGCATTTATCAACATCGCTCTTTCGATAACGGTCCGATTCGATAGCACGATCGGTAATCAACCGCAATTCTCATTCGAGAAACAACTCGACCAAACATAGTAACTAGAACCGTAAACATTTTCGAAACGACTTAATGAAGACATTGGAAGATCGAGGACCATCGGCCGGTAACGGATAAGAAGACTGTGCCGAGGGTCCTTTGGCGCGTATGTAATCGCTCGTCCTGGTTGGGGGTGGTGGTGGTCATCGTGTCATGGTCGATCTTTGTATTGTACGAAATATGATTCATCCTCTCTATCTACGCGTTGAGCATCCGTAGCGAGTTGGGCGCCCTCGGAGAGCCTCCCGAGTTTTCTTTCTACGCCTTTCCGAAGAGTCAGGCGCTGGATTCACATTTATAGATACCGGGATCGAGCCCAGACTCGTTTTGGCTCAAGTTCCGCCACGTTTCGATTGTGTGCTCGGGTCTGACTGTTCCAGCGAGATCTCTCGATCGTGACATATTGGAAGGGATTCGAATTGAGAGAGAACTCGAATGGGCAGCGTTGGTGAATCATAATTCACCAAGAAAACACCGGTCGACTCTGCTCGGGGGCCAGAACCACTCTGATCAAAGGTTTATTAAGGTTCATTAGATTAATCCATGAACGATCTATTCAGTCTTCTGGAGGGGACGCCATGGAAGTTTCTTCGCGACGGAGACGTTCAGGAGGTTTTTTCCAATATCGTTTTGGTTCCGAAAACCGCAATTAGACAGACATTCGCGAAGAATCGACAGCTCTGACTATATTCATCTCGACGGGCGCCTAATGAAACCGACTGACTTCCGGCTCGGTATTATTCTCAGAGTCCGCTCTCGTACCCTACGTGGAGTATTCGCACTACTCAGAGCTAGTTTCGGTAGTTTAGTCTTAGGAGTAATACGTACTTTACGCAGCGAAGAGCATGCACTAGACTCCCGTTTTTCGAAGTGGATTGAATCAGGCATTTTCTCCTCTTTCTTCCTTCCTTGCGACCTCGTCTAGTAACGTCGTATAAATGATATCCGAAAAATTCATGCGTATACAACATGGGGGAATTCAACTTATCATCAAATTCACCTACTACTGGCGCGGTGATTCTTTGCATCGTTCGGAGGCTGTCGATGGCACCAGGACGAACTCTCCAATTCTTATCTGATTAGCCATCCGTTATTCAGCGAAACTTCGCTCCTACCATGGGGTGTTTCCTATCATTACTGCTCCTGAGATCATTATTCAATGGAGCTTCATTTTTGAACTATCATAGAAATCTCCCAGTGCTTCCTCGTTTTAGGGAAACGTAATGAGTTTCCGCCTCTTGCTCTCCACGGCACCTGCTGTACAGGTGACCGTTCCGCTGTCTCGCTAGTGGTAGTCAAATGATGGTTTTCCATTCTACAAGCAATATGGTCTCTCCCATGCGGGACAAAGTTGTAAAAATAACAAGGTCATAACCTTTCATCGAGGAAATCAAAAGTAGTGATCGCATTTATCGTTACAATGGCAACGTTTCATATCAGTCAATCGTATAGGAAGTAATCACTTCAGTTATACGTTCTTCCAGGAAGTAGAGGGGATTCGTGGGGGCTTTGTTGGAAAGCGAATAATTCTGCACCGGTCATTGAGACAATAGTTTCAGCTATGGTTGTCGATCAAATCGTTGATCCTCAGGGGATTGATAACGAATCCAAGTGTATAGATAAGTTGAGGTTTTCTGCGCTCGATATACAGTCAGCATCAAGTAAGGATGAAGTAGCCGAGTAGGATACAAAGATGAGCATATTATCATTATGTTCGACGCTTAGAAAACCTCCAACGAGGCTTGGTCAGTACTCAAGTTTGCTGTACCGGACCAAGGATTCTGGTCAGTGCCTCGATTCTGATCAGCCGGGACGGCTATTGGAGCAAACCGTAGAACAGTCTCGGCAGCTGTACGTTTTACCCGCTGCATTTGTCCGTGATCAAACCCAGGTCCTACAATGCCTTCTGGGATCTCAGGATATACTCACGTACAAAACGCTCGCGGCTCAGTGTCGAGATTGTCCCGGCAGGCATCAGAACAAAATTATTTCTGTCGTTTGTACTTTTACTTCACTGTCTTCTGCTGGGAACGCTTGCTAGAATCGCTCGCTCGAGTGTGTTTTCCTTCTCCTCCCTCTTCTCGGGATAGAATAGCCGACCGAACTCGGGGGTCCTGTCGCAGGCCATAAGTCCCCGCTCCATCGCGGAGAAATTCGAGGCTCCGATATTCCCGATCCTGGCAGTCATGGTCATGAACTGCTGTCGGTAGGTGATCTCGGTTCGCCTACGACGTCCTTCCGAGCCGGCGGAGGTGGTCTCATCGGCGCGGCGGCGACGCGATTGGACTCTTTTCCAATAATAACCAGATAGGAGACTATCATTCGCTGTTGCGGATGCTTCTGGTGCTGCGACTTCTGCGGCTGTGATCATCTCCGGTCCTCTTATGGCTGAGCTTGAAAGCTAAGAAGCGCGTCGTCAAGCAGCTGGTGAAGAGGACGGCCTGCTGCTTCTAGGCGGTAAGTTGCTCCTTGTTCCGCATTTTTTCCAGTGCTTCTCCTTTTTCCCTGCCGCATGTCTGCATGCAAGTTATACGTCTACCTTATCTATCCTCAGGTGAGACATGAGAATTTTTCGGATGACTTCCGAAAATGACGCCTTCTAGTAGATCCAACGAAATAGATCTTTTGGCAGAGCATCAGGCGTGCCGTATCAGAACGAGTGACTTCAATGCATTTCGAAAAAACCTTGGACGCAAGCTCTTGGTCATCGTAGTTGTTCGATGGCCTGCGCGTGTTCCGAAATCCCGATTAGCATTCAGCTCGTATTCCGAACCGATCGGTGGATTATGGTTCTTAGGCCATAGTAGCTCAAGAAGACGACAACAGAAGTTAGTGGATCCATTCGGAAAGATACCGTAGTTGTCGGCTGTATCCGATCGAAATACTGAATGAACAAGCTCGATAAAGCGAAGCTTAGCATCAAAGTCCCATCGATCGGAGCTCAAGATGTTCCGTGTCTTGCTCGATGGTATGCTGCCGCTTCTTGCCCTCGCCTCTCTCGATCGAGGTTCGCTTGCTTCATAAGCTCAAGCCTGTTGTGAAATGATTCCGTCTGGGTGGCTCATGTAGCTTGATTATTCCGGTGTCAGTCTGATGAAATTTGTCCTTTTGTCAATTGTATTGCGAAGCTCGTGAGTTCAAGCGGCTCCTCGAAGCCTTGCTTGCTTTGCTGGCGTGCCAGCGAATGTCAAGCCCCGCCGCCGAACAGTATTTTCATTCGAGGAAATTCGGACGGTCGGTCGGGCACATGATGAGAGTTCCTCATCTCCATAGAAAGCTTTGGTCGTATTGTTCCTCTTTCTGTGTCCTTCATTCTTGTCATAGGTAGAATCGTTGTTGATGTCGAGTCTTGTATTTCATTTATATGCATTCGTTCGCTGTGCAGTTTCGAGGTAGACTTTTCGTGCTCTGATTGAACTTACTGATAAGAAGTGCTGCTGTGTCATGAGTGTTGTATTTATGAAGCGACGGGTTACTCGAGTACTAGCGATTCAGGAGCGGAATGGTGCGTCTGTATTCATATATCGATGTAGAATCTATTCTCTCCGGGAATTCGCGGAGTTTCAAGTGCTCTGGAATACTGACGATTTGGCAGCCTGGTCACGGCTGGATTACAAGGGAGGGGGGCGGCGACCATATCGGAAGATTTGGGTTCGGACGACGACTGACGCCTTCCTCCGTGAAATGCGCGGACATCCTTCAGGGCCGAAAGTCTTTGAGGAGAGACGACAACGGCGCCAGCGCGCGCGTCTCGCATGAGAATATCGAATGAACATTCGAAGGTGTGCTCGCGGAGCACCCTCAACAGGGCAAACAGGCTCATGGTCGGTGAGCACTGAAAATTCCCACCGTCGATGAGAGATTCGGACACAGAGTCATCAATCATAAACATGAAAACAATGAACAAGTGAGGACGCTGTGCATATGTCCTTCAAAAGGTAACATTCCTGAAAAGGCTTCGGCCCTGTGGGGATTCGTCCATGATCTAGGGATGCTAATTCCGATGTGATTTGACTCTAGCCGATTAGAAGGTTTCTGCTTGCTTTCACTTACTGGCGCGTACGATCCGTGCGCTCTGATCGGGTGGACACTCAAAACCGAATCACCCGATGCACAGCCATCACGAGACTCAGACGAGTACATGTGGTAGTAGAATATCGAAAGAATTTCGCTCATCTAATCAAGTATTCCAGCACTGGAGGTGGGTGAAACTTCGAACAGTGACAACGTCACACTCGTTACTCTTGATCTGAGACGGGAGGAGCTCATGAGGACACGAAGTCCTGTGAGAAGAACCGGTTGACACAAATTACAAGTGTCGAGCTCTCTTCACTCTGTAGGCCTCGGACGTCTGCGCTTGGAGCGAGCGTCAAACTAACCTCAGTGATCGATCAGCCGCTCATGCTAGACAGCTGATCAGTGCTTGGCTGGCATCTCAGAAGACCCTAAATACTTCGACTTGAAGTGGAGCGGAGAAAGGAGAGTCTGTCTAGATGAATTGTGTGGATGGGTGGATGAAACTGTGTGATTCTCTAGAAATTCGTCTCGCTGGTAACTAGTTCTGAAATAATTCAACTGATACTAGGAACAAGGAGAATACATAGGTATACCGTACTATGGAAAAACGTGATACTTACAATATGACTACTTGAATTGATTGATAGGTTGGTAGGTTGGTTGGTAGATAGATTGACAGGTAGATAGGTTGATTGATAGAGTTCAATATGAAGTAGTAGGATCGATGGATGACTTGAAGTAGATGTAATCTTTAGCTAATTTCAACATGACAATCAACATGGCGTTCTAAGTCCCTTCGACATCAGTCAAAGCTGATGCGGCTTATTCTTGCTTCCCATTTGTTACACTTTCCCCGCTCATTGCTGTTCATCCCAAACAAAAATGGATGATGATATCGTCCATAACGGTCGTTCATGGCCGGTCTGAGCTTTAAACAGCGGATGGATCTACTGATGAGATGGATGGTTTTTCTTGAATCAATGTCAATCAGTTCGAAAATGTTGTGTGAAGGCGGTGGTTGTTGTTGTTTGTTGTGTGTTATGTGTGCCGTACATCGCCGACGATCGACTCAGTGGAGGATCGTCGGTTCTTCGTACTGAACGTCTGAGATCTTCAGATAAATTACCCAGTAGGTAAGATTGAAGCAGACGAAGCACACTGGGAAAACGACTCGAGAGTACTTATCGATGTTCGACGGATTGACCCCGAATAGTTTGTTGGGGTTCTTGCCGGCAAGGGCCGCTTCGATCTCAGCGGGACTTCCGGCGGCAGTTTGCGCCTCGGGGGTTTGAGCCGATGATTCTTTTCGGGAACTCTTGGAATCCGACTTTTTCAGCTGCAAGAACGGTTAAATCATTGAAGTCGCTGTGATCGGGAATCTTCCAAGGCCCCCGAGCTTCCATTCGTCGGAACGACGTTCGGCGAAGGTAAGGCGGGGCACTCGTGAAATAAGTCAGAGGGAATATGAGAGCAGCTCACCGAATGTTGCTGCTGGCCAGGCTGGCCTTGTTGCTGTTGTAAGCCTTGTTGTTGAGCTTGAGACTGCACTTGCTGATGTGATTGTTGCGTAGAACAAATCGTACAATTTCGGATCCCAGGACAACACTGCTCACCCATTCGGCGCAACTGACTGTCGTACAACGTCTGTGGAACGATTGACAGATATTCGATGGGTAGTCCGGAATATGATATGAGTGGGAACTCAAATATTGATCCTAGTGAGCACGCTTATACGCGACCGATCGGGCCTGCAGTCACTCACCATCGTAAAACAGGGTGGGACATGACCAGGTTGGCCTTGCACCATAGTCGGGCAGGTTGGGCAGCCCGGGAAGCCTTTCACAAGAGGCGCCATGGCTTCAGGACTCTGAGGCATCATTGGCTCGTTGTGAGCGACTTCTTGTGCAGCTTGTTGACGCGCTCGTTCCTGTCGGGCTTGTTCGGCCAACTTAGCCAGTTGTTGTGCGCGTGATTTGCGCATCGCCACCCGTTTTCCAAGATAGCCCACTGCTGCATACTCCAGAAGGGACGCGAACACCTTCGAATGGGGATTCTGAGGTGAATTCCAGGATCTCACGGCGGCACGGAAGTTTTGCCCGGGACGATGACGGAAACATTCGTATGGGATAACGGGGGAGCCCGGGGCAAAAGCGTTCCTGCACCAACTCACCATGACGAAGCATGTTCCTAAGAAAACGTCGATCGACTTGACGTAGGAGATTTTGGGCAGTTGGGAGTTGGTGCTAGACATCAGGGTAGTCATGGTCAGCACGGTCATCACTCCCAGAGACACCCGTGCCGGGGTTGCATTCCGATGCAGCCAGAAGGACACCCACGATATGACAACAATCAGTGAGGCTGGGATATAGATCTGGATCAAGTAATAACCCATAGACCTCACGAAACGAACTTCGCATATCAACCGGGAGTAGTTGCCGGTCGATAAAGACACCTCGGAGATTTTTTGAACGTGGCCGAGCACCTTGAATTGTGGTAACTCTACTTCTTTGGATATTCCAATCGAAATTGGCCCATCTTTCCACTTGTAGCGGATGTCGCTCATCGTATAACCAACTGAAAGAGGCGAGTCGGACTTGAGACATCAATTCGGCTGTCCACCGGGACAGAAATTGATCGTCAAACGGCGGAATCACTCATATCTTCTCGGGCGAGAAGCCCCTCTCAGCGAACTCACAGCTTTCAACCTCGATGGTGCACGATTGTCGATCCATAGGAAAGAATCGTAGGTCCATGGGACAACTGGCGGTCACAGTTAATCTGTATGGGAGGCAAACAAAATCAGAGCCTATCCTATGCCCAAATGATGTTCCCTCCGGATCCTCGGAGGCCACGACGTTTGACCTCATCACTCACCGGATACTTCTGTAAACTTCGCCTTCAGAACTTATTCGCAGAAAGGTATTTGGTGTCGTGGCTACGTGGAAGTAGGCGGTTTTTTCGTTGGCGAAGAAGGTGTCGGGCACCCAGATCTTGTTGGCCACTTCGGCTCCAACGGTCATTTGATCTAAATCGTTACTTTTGACAAAGGACAGGCGTTCATCTCGCCACGCTTGACGGAAGTAGAAATCGGATGTGAAGTCCTGCAAGCGAACGCGACCTTAGTGCATCCGGGGTCTGTGAGAAAGTCGATCATCGAGCGCCGAAGGGGAGCACCAACCCTGGGATTTCACGTTGCCATCCACATTTTTACTCACCATCTGCACTTCTGATACGGTACTGATACTGACGATCTGCATACTGACGCCGACTTCAACGGGATTGCCTGGAGGAGAGATCAGGTTTTTCATTCCTCTTCCCGACTCATACGAACGCGCCGGGGAGCTCTGTTTATTTCATCCTGTCAGCTCTCTGGCTTCGTTCCAGAGGCCCCTCCCCGTCCCCTCTTTTGACGTGTGGCCTCCTCCTCCCGAACGGAGGACTGCGTTATGCCGGGGGGGAACGGAGTAGGCGTGCCGTCAATTGTTTCCCAACAAGACCTCGAGAGGGCTTCGGTAGGCAGATTGAAGGAAGGTCTCCTTACATGCATGAGTTTTTTCGCGGCCCGCTATGAAGCGCACGAGGCTCGATCGCTCCCGAGAATAGTGTACGCAGGAGCAATCAGTGAGCGACTGCCGGCTTTGCGTAACGTATACATGGGCAGGTAATGTCGGTTTCCGCCCAGACAGCTCCCGCACATTGGCGACAGCTGTCCTGCGACACTTTTCCGATATAGATCGAGTGACCGAAGTCTTGAGAGAGCGCTCACCTCCGTAATTCGGCCGTACTCGCTTGTCATATCCTTTCGTGAAAAAGGCATTGAGTATGTGCGTGATGTTCTGACCGCGTTGTGTTTGACTGGAAAGGAAAAGACATCAATCGAGTCAGCCCTGTTGGGAACAAAATTGATCTTTCCGTTGAGTCGCGTCGGGGGGGGGGGCGATACGTGGACGATGGTCTCGAGCTCTTACCCCGGTCTTAGACCATTGTTGCTAGATGCCATCTGGTGGAGGAGAACTCGCTCTGCGTCCACCGTTAGAATGCAGCACGCGAGAATCGCCAGTGCAAGTCTGGTGACGTCTCGGACGCATCCCGCGGTTAAAACTTGGCTATCCATTCTGATGTTTTTCGTTTCGATACCTCTCTCCCTAGGTACGAGGTCACAGTCACGCAGAAGGCAAGAGTCGCTTGTTCGGGCTCAAGACGACGGGCCGTGGGTCGACGGTCTAGAATAACGACGCACGCACGAGATAATACAAGTAGAAGTAGAAATGTACTGAGACTGACTGCTGCTGCTGTCGCTGCTGTTGCTGCAATAGTAGAGTGTTTTTTCTTTTCTGTGATGATTGAGCGACGTGTCACGCGGACTCTCTCGCGCTAGCTCCAAAGAGCTCACTGTTGGAAGAACCTCGTAGCACACACGTTGAGAAGAGGAGGTCGACAACAGCGGAGCCGCTAATGACGCATCTGCTGGACTCTAGCCCTACACCGAGCCACGATAGTTCTCGTTGCTTGAGACGAACCAACCAAGGGACCAAAGCCGCTACCCGGTCGAGGGCATTGGCTACACACTGATCGACTGACGCACTGGGCACCGGCAGGCGCACTGAGTCGCTACGGATTACAGATTGACCTGATGATGAGTAGTAGAAGTAGTATGTATTAGTAGTTGGAGAAGTAGCAGTAGTAGTTGTAGTAGTGAGTATTGTTTTCTCTCGTAGTAGAGGAACTTGCAGCTGCGGTGATTGATGGAACTAACTCCCAGATGATCCTCTCGCCCTAGTTCACGGAGTACGGAGCGCGAGCGCTCTTCGCCTCGATACTTCCTCGCCTGTCTCGTTCAGGACGCGGAAGCACCAACAGGTGGAGCTTCGGTGATCGTTCTCACCGTCATCGGTTCATCTCCGGGGAGAGCGCTTCTGTTCCTCACTTGGTCTTCTTCGCTTCCACTTCTCTTCCCTTGTTTCGTTTTCTGACCCTTATCTCATCTGACTCCTCCGCTTAGCGAGGTCGATGCGAACGGCTCCGGGTTGCTTGGTTGTTTCATACGTGAAATTAACGCGGTTGACGAAACTTCAATGAGGAACCCAGGTCATGAGACAGACGGTTGCTCCCTCTTCTCCTTCTGCGACGACTGCTCGAATTTTCAGAGTTGCTCCTCTTCTAATAGACGCTTCGAAGGAATGCCACTCCGCCGCTCCCGGCTTGAATGACAGGTTTGTGGCAGAAGTGTCGATGAATTCCTTGAGCAGATGGTGAGGAAGGTGGAGATTTCGCTCGCTAGTCGCTCTCTTCTTCCCGTTTCGAATTAGGAGTTCTTCTCCTTCCAGGAGGGATCCACTGCGTCTCGAAAAGCTCGGCTGTCTCGAGTAGGTCTAACAGTAGTAGCTTGAATTAATCAGCTGATCGGTTGATTCGAGTGACAAATTAACAATACGGCATCTGACGACGACCGAACGAAATTCGTGGCGAGAGATAAGGACGCTAATGTTGGAGACCACTTGGTTGCTAGAGATCATTGAGCAAATCGAGAGGGGTACTCGACCGATGATCCTGGCATTAGAACGAAGGATACCATGGTCGTTTTCGATAGCGACAACTGGAGCAATGATTCAGAAGACAAACAGAGAATCACTATCTACTGCTCTGTTTCTGGCTAGTCGTTCAGGTCGGTAGGGAATTCGGCCTCTCCTCGAGCTTTGTCTGATGTTCTGACTTCCAGAGTTGCTTGTTTCCCTTGAAGAAAACCCCGATTGTCCTTCAGTGTATCGACCTACGATGGTTGGGCAGGCCCGCTTTGACGAACTCAGACAACCTCGACTGCCTCTCGCCTCCCGGACTCATTGTCCGCACCTGAAACGTAAACCGCTCGTTAGTGTATACGACTTCCGAACCTGATCAGGATACCTCATCGGGCGCCGGGGTGATCCGTAATTGACCCGCCTCGGTGTCGACCGATTACAGCGACGACCTATAACGTCTGCCTTGATAGCTCGGTGATTTTTGGCGATGAACGCTTCGATGCCCCCGCTCTCCCCTCTCTCAGTCTGTGATATTGAAACTCCGAGTTCCCGATCAGATTTTCTGCAAGCTGATGGCATTTTCGAGTCGGATGCTTCGGATTCCGAGAGGTATCCGGTATTTTCCGCATACTAGGCAGAACACGACCCACCACCATTCATGACAAAGGCGTTAATGAGATTAGGCAAAGTTCGTTGACCGCGAATGTCACAAGGTCGAGGGGTTCCATCAAAAGGGACGCGGCTCGAAGTCACGTCCTCTCTGCATGTGGAACGGCAGTTGAGGACACCATTTTTTCCTGAATTTCCGGCCGCCCTGCTGCGTCTGACCTCCGCCTCGACTTGCCTCCGCGTTGTTGCGCTCCTGAAATCTTGTCACGTAGCCCGACCGGGACGGCTCGAGGCGGCAGACAATCGTAGGTTTAGATCGCAAGATTCGTGGAGCTCTTCAGATCCGATCGACTGATTTCGGAACGACCTCCCCGTGTAGGTGAGCGCATCCTGGGTAGACGAAATATCGTTCATCAGATCAACCTAGCGCGTTCCCCATTCGGAACCCGCCCGGGACACGGGAGCTCCAAGCCGGGTCACGATGATCGACTGAGAGCTCGGAGACACCCTCAGAGGTCGCCGAATCTACGACGGCGTTCTTCATCGGGAGAATCTATTCAGTATCTCGATGCGCCGTCGCTTCCCTATGCAAACGACGGATGCAGTCCCCGGAAGAACCCGCCTGCTATAAACTCAATCATAGACCGTCGCGACGCGCCTGGCTCATCGGCTCGTACGGGCACGCAGCCTGAATCGAACGACCTCACATGTCCGCTGGGACGTGAAGGACCCTTCCGTTTTCTGAGCGGCGCGTCCTCAGCTGTTCCCAATCAAAGTGAGCGATGAGCTCAGTGAACAGCGGAGCGGCGGAATGAGCCCTGTCGGACGGGATAAGCGCATTCGTACATGTACGGTCGAGGCGCTCAGGTGCTAATTTGCAACGTGACTACTTTGCTTCGGAGAATTAGGTGTGAGTGATAGTCTCGCCTGCATGTAAACATTTCCATCGGATATGAGAAACCGGCGCCATTGAAATGGTAACTCCGATCAAAATGCAAGAGAACCGAAGTTCGGAGGCACACTCGGGGTACTCCTCGCGTGAACTCGCACGTCAAAAAAGCTTTATCGAGTATTCGGAGACGGAAGACGCGCCTAATCGAGCCAGAATCGTCTTCCCTATTTTTTTTGCTCATGTAAGCTTCGTGCACGCTTCCTGGGTTGTGATCCTGCGGAGCAGACTGCGGCAGCGGTTGCAGAATAGCCATTCCGGCAGAAAATCGACCGTATCAGCGTTTCGTGCTAGGCAGCTGAGTTTGCTCTCTCATGGTTGACGTCTAACGCAACTCCGGTGCGTCAGGTTCGCGATCGCGACTCGCGATACCCGGGGAGCGTTCAAGCTGCATGACGACAATTTGGAGTCGCTCAAATTCGAATCTGTAGAAATTTCTCAACTCGCACCCAACATTCGCTCTCGAGCTGCAGATTACCCCACGTCGTTTCGGACTAGTGCTCACCGCAATGAAGTTTCCTCGTCAAACCGCAGGGTAAGTCCAGACATCCACTCATTTTGCCACCGACACCGTGACCACGCTTCCGTGATTTGAGCCATTAATGGTATCGGTTCCAGAAAGCTGTTAGCTCCGGGTGACCCACTTCGATGGAGTCGAGCAGAGGATCGAGGCTTGGAAAAATACCCATCGCTCTTTCGACACAGAAATCCACCGGATTTCCCCTCAAAATTACCACTAAAATTCACATATTCCCCGCGAGTCGGATATTTCAGGGAAAGCGCGCTCGAAAGTGGGGGACACGGTCACAGTTCCACCGAAATCGCAACGCTCTATCTTGACATTTGGGAATCTGGGACAGAACAACATGGCGCGCCTCCCAGCGGGACTGCTCAAGGTTCCACCTCTACAACAGCTTCCGAGCTCTGCCAACCCACGGTTGAACGCTCAAACATCGACCCTTTGCATCGACGTTCGACGTCGATACACCTACCAGGCGATCTCGGGGACTCCGGGTCGACTAGAGGAGTATAACTCACCGATCTGCGCGGTGGACTGAGTTTTGCTGCAATGATGAGGCTGCTCAGGTCGTCGTCGTCCAGTGCCTCGCTCTGGGTTTCATGCCTCCAGTTGTTCGCGCGATCGTCCCTGCCCCGCCGGGAAGCAAAAGCTACGCGCACTTGACGAACAACGCAGTGATAAAAAGGGTGATGAAAACAGTGGATAACCAAGAAGCCAAGAAGAAAGATCCCGCTTAGGCAGGGACATTCAAAAGAGAAAGATACTGAGCCCCGAGTGAGAGCGAGCGAACGCCGAGGGCCCGGAGACGAAGAGCGGGCTCGGGGGAGAGGCCCGGATCGTCTGCTCCCTTCTGAGGCCCTCGGTCGGGCCCTCGCCTGACCCCCGCCCGTCGAACCTCCCCCTTCCCCTCACCCTGGCGGCGCGGCGGTCCGAATGGTTGCCCTGTTCCCTCTTTGCCTGTCTGCTCGCCTGTTCGCTTGCGCGGAGCCGCTCTACGCTATCTATTCGCTCACACGGCGCTTTTTTTCGGCTCTTGCATGGAAGCAGTAGCCGAAGGCGCAACATAGCTTCCACAAAAGGGAACCTCTGAAAAGACGGATCTCCAGCCTGTCAGCCAGCACTTGCTTCCCTTCAAAGGAACGAGATCGCTCTGGCGAGAAATCAGTTTTCCACGCTCGGTTTCTGGTCTCGCCCGCACACGCCGTCACCAGAGTACATAGGTACAGTCGGTTATGGATTTACCGTCCCTTGAAGCGAACCAGATGAATATAGACCTCAGGGACGTGGTCGGAAGCGTTGAGTGGAAAAGTTTTTATTCGCTGGGGTGCTCGCTGCGGTAGTATCATCGGGGATCCGCAAGGCGAATCAAAGTCCCCACGTGCTGCGAAGTGTTATCGATTCCGAGAGCTCGCATACTATAGCATTCTGCTTCGAGCCTCGTCCCGTAAAATAAGATACCATGCATTCTCCCATGGGGCGGAACTCGCCACAACGGATAATGGAGCTGCAGCCGGTCC